TTGTATTAAAAGTTTATAACGATTATGATAGCAACTATTATTGTACACAGGGTAATTATCAGAATCGTCTGTAAAATGTACCCAAATAAGATAAAATTGTAAATATCGGTTAATGTGTTCACAACGTTCTATGTGACATAAATACCTATTTAATGTGGTAATTTTAATTTATATATATTGTTAAATGTGGATGCCTAATTATTAGATACTTCATTAAAGTAAAAATGGATGTAAGTCAAATTTTTAAGTTTGATACATCTTGTGTTGTTATAAATGGTGATGTTAAAACTTGTGAACATTTCAGCCTCGCGCTGAATCAAATAAAAATCGTTAAAAGCATGTATACATCATGCAGAAAGGTTTTGGCTTCGCGCCCCGCGCTGAAACGTACTAGGATCAGGAAATAGGTTTTTTACCAGACTTGGTACGCAATTCGTGTGCACCGCAATATCCGGTAAAGTGTCTAATTAATCGGTAGAATTCAGCCAGTTAAGTGATGGTTAAATATTTTTATGATTTTAACTTAACTTTAATTTTTAATATTTTAAAGGAACCTAAATTCACATTAGTTGAGTTAATTAAGGAAATAAAAAAAATAAACATTACAAATGACCATAGTGAAGAAATTAGAACACGTGATGTATCAAAAATTGGTACTGCAATAGATGCAGCAACATTTTTGGTTGGAATTATGCAAACCTATTTGAATAAAAAAAAAAAAATAGCACCTGCAAGTGTTATTAATAATTATTATAATAATTATTATAATAATTATTATAATAATACTGTTAATTATAATAATACTGGTAATTATAATAATATTGGTAATAATACTGGTAATGTTATAATAAAACAACACAAAAGGGGACAAGACACATAACTTATGTGACATAAGCAAACAGCGATATATTTCAATATATGTGTCTTGCCCCCCACCCCTACAGGCCCGTAATAAGCGTCGCAAGACGCGTGCCCTTTATTTTTTTTCTTATATTGTTTTCGGGTCCCTCATTATTTTAATTCCCCCATTTCCTTAAGTAAATTGTTCAAATTATGTATAATGTATATATACCTATAATAAATACCTACAATAAATGTAATAATCCATTGTATAAATTTATATAAATAAACATTTTGTCATGTTATTTAATTGGTTTTTATTGTATAGCTTATAATATAGTAAAATTAATTTATGAGGCCTGTGGAAATATATAAATATATTTAATTAGATAATTATAGTCATCAGTCACTGATCTGATATCTATATAATATTAAATAAAATACATACCATGTTTGCTCTGTATGTGGTCGGACAGATTACTTCGACGGGTGAAATCTTGTTTGCAATCACCACATGTAAATTTAATTTGTTTATGAGATTTTACATGCCTCAACATATTACACTTCACAATGAAAACTTTGTCACGAACACAGCAATTAAACATTTTTACTGATAGGTAATAAACACTGGATTAAGAACAATAGTAGCACGTGGACTGCTTGTAAGAGCTTGAAGAACAGTATAACTCTTTTTGAGTGAAATCGGCTCTCGTATATACAATATATCTACCCACTCCATACAGGTATAGGACGTGTGATAAATATATATCGTAATATATTAATAATACTTATAATTAAGAACTGGAAAAGTCGTGTCACACTAAACATCGTATTTAAATCTCTAAATTATCTTTTACTAATGACTTTTGGCTGAAAGAGAAATCATATATACGTAATAACAGTAAGGTGTTAGAAAAATGCAAATAACCAGTTATTTTCAGATTTAGCGATAACGACGGTCGACGGACGACGCAATCGTAAAACGAATGCGACGGTCGGACGACAGTCTCAATTCTAATAAATAGGAGGTAAATAAAAGCTCGGGGGATCACATCGATAATGGTTACTGCACGTCTGCAAGAGTCCGGGAGACTATAAAATATTAATTATTATTTTTATCGACCGTTGCGTATAAATGTTAGATTCTCCATAGTATTTTTAATTCAAATAAATATAAAATATCTCTATAATTTTATATTTATTCTGTAAATTGATAATATAAATTATTTTTTATTTGATTCAATATATAAATTTTAAATTAATAATAATATACGATTATTTAATAAATTAGTAGTTAACAAAAAAAAAAAAAACTTGAAGAATATTTCATTGGAGACCAAAACGGTGTACTCATCAAAAACAAACACTCCAGGATGGCCGAAAAGTGAATTAAAGAGAAAGGTTCTTTTTCATTGAAAAGTGTCCCACCCAAATTGTATAGGTGCGCCTATATGCGGCGTAGTTGCCAACGGATGGTTCCCAACTACCTGTAATCTGACCTTTTTGTTCGTCAAATAATGTGTTTCATATTATCTACGTTTAGATATTAGTTGTTCTAAGAAAATTATCAATAAAAATAATGTCGAACATTGCACGTAGGTACATGGAATGTATTCCTAGAAGTTTAAACGATGAAATACATACCGTTGTATACATACAATGTGTAAACTGTAAACACTAATTGAAAACACTCAATATCTCTGCGTAGAGCCCTCCATTTGAATCTTGTTTTTAGTTGGTTGCTGTGACATAAAAATACACATTTTTATGATCTTCATATTTTGAACTTAATTAGCCATATGTATGCGCAGTAGTAGGTAAAACTTTTTTTTCCTAAATAGCAACCACCAATTATTTTTTGCCTATTTTTTTTTTAATGAATTTTGGTAGTTTAATCAATTCTCTTGTTCCAAAATTGACCAAGTTATAGCTAATCAACCAAAAAACTAGAAATTGCATGCATATTCCAGTTTTTTGGATGATTTGCTATATATTGGTAAGTTTTGGACTTAGAGAGTTGATTAAACTACCAAAATTCATCAAAAAAAAAAAATAAAAATAGGTAAAAATAATCAGTGGTTAAAATAAGTGGTCGCCATTTAAGAAAAAAAGTTGTACTGCCCATTCGTATGGCTAATTAAGTTAAAAAAAATTCAAAAGCCATACAAATGTGTATTTTTGTGTCATAACAACCAACTAAAAGCAGAGTTCCAATTGGAAAGCTCTACGCAGAGATATTGAGTGTTCTCAATTAGCGTTTATACACTGTATAATATGTATAAATGTGAAAATAGAAATCTTTATCACGCTTGTTTAATAAAACTGCTCTTCCGATTATCTTGATTTTTTTTTTTTAATGAAAGAATACATCGTGGACTATGTCTTAGGCTTAATTTCAATTCTATAAATTAATTCAATACATAATTATTTCTTTATAAATGTTTATTTTTCAATACCATACAGCACAGCGCAGAAAAATAACACGAAATTATACGAAAACCAATAAAAAGCTGTATTTTGTAATAATTGATCATTTTTTTCTCGGTGAATTCAATCTATACTATCTAACAAACTTGATATGATATCTTTGAGTTAGAAATTATAAATTTCCGCAAGTACACACTCGCGGGGTCACAATACCCTACCTAGTACCTCATAATGCACTACTCACATAATCAAAAACGTGTAACACGGGTAGAGTCGAGCAGAATAGAAACTTTAATAATATAAATTAATAAATTATAATCGAATTTGTCATACAGTCTGACTGACATGATTCTGACTAATCACTAAGGATGAACGTAGAGCCTAAACAATCATAGCTCGAGGCTTGTAGTTTTCATGATAACTTCAAATTAAACAAAATTCGGCATTTTTAACGGGCAGCGAAGTTCATTTTGTTATCAAATTTAATTCGATTTACGTAATAACTTAAATATAAAATATTATAAATACTATGTAAAAAATGGAAGTTCGTAAAAACAGTTAATTATTATTTACTACTAATAATGAAACAAAATATAATCAATTAATATATTTACGTAACGTAATATAATAATAATAAATGTAACGAATCGATTTTTTATTTTAACAAAACTTTTCAATTAAACGCATAGAAAATGTACATTCTTTTATACGACAAAATAAATATAATTTCAACGACAAAACATCAATAAATTATAAAAATTATACGCACTATGAATCGTTGTACGATATCTATCGCAATAACATTATTTTACTGAATACTTTTTCACCGTTTATTTCAAAACATCTATTTTATAATTTAAAATGTATTATTACTATCGAATTCAATTCAGATCATATTCTAATATCAAGAACATTATTACTAATAACTACCTAATAAAATCAATTTATTTTACACACATAAATGGTCTATAATTTGTATTAAATACATTTATTTGAAGTAAAGTAGCAATTGATAAAAAAAAACTAAGATTTTCGATAAAATTCTAAATTATATTGACTAGATATAAAATCTTGATAAATTTACCAATTATTTTTTAGCCGAAAAAAAATAGCATGCGAGATCTTAAATAAAACGTCTTCGCAAAATAAATATTCATTAAATATCAATAGAATTATATTGAAATTTTACATTTTATATTTGTTAATTAATAAAAACTTTTTATAATTTTGTTAGCGAGTGTACATCACTTATCCCATATAATACCAGATGGATAAAATCTATTACTTTTTTTAAATCGTTTTTTTTTGTTAATCTTATAGATACCTAATGAATCTATTATCTGATTTGATTAATTTACTATTTATTTTTTAAGTACATTTTTAATATTTATATGCATATAAATTAATTTAAAATATAGATCAAGTAAATACACGAGTTAATAACACACTACTGGGTACTTATAAATTATATATTAAAAAAAAAAAAAATATAAGATACAATATAATTTACTAATCACTAGCAATTGTAATATACATAAATATATTTAGTGAAATCCAACCAATGGTACAAGGATTTATTGAAAGAGGGGAAAAATGTATAACAATAAATGCATAAAATATAAATTTTATGCACCTTATAAATAAAAGATATCATGTTATATAAAATTGAATATAATAAAACAGAGCAAATGATTTTTAACATACTCAAAATGGGATAACCTACTAAATTTATTTTCAGACGTTATGTTTCTAAAATAATTTCTTAATTCTTTCAAATAAAGAGTCAGTTAATTTAGTTTCACATGATGTGTCAGGAAGTACAAGGATATACAGTAATATATTAACAAAGTTATTTAAATTAGGATAATATAAACATAATAATAAATAACATATGGGAATGCTATGATATCTTGATCATTTTGATAAAAATGTGTATGTACCAATACAAAATTTGATTTACAAATATAGTCATCAATCAATGCTAGAAAACCAAATATTACATTAATATCCATCTTGTAACTGAACCCAGAATAAATTGCATTTTTAAGGACTTTTCTTGATATGTATCCTAGTATGCTCTGTTAAATTGTATGCGTTAGTATATCTTTTAACACAAAAATCACATTTATATTTCTAATATTATTCAGACGTTTATCTAGTATGTGTCCTTGAATGCATTATTAAATTTGATTTTACAAAAGACCCTTTACCAAAGATGACACATTTATGTGAATTTTCTCTTATTATATAGGATGATATGCCCTTATATGCACTTTTAATTTAGTTTTTGAAGAAAACTCTTCATTACATACGTCACATTTGAATAAAATTTCTTTTGAATGAGTTTTTGAATGCATTTTTAAATCTATTGCTTGAGAAAACGTTTCTTCACAGTTATCACATTTAAACAGTTTTTTCTTAGCATGCAACTTTTTATGTGTAATTAAATTTGAATTTAAAGAAAACCTTTTATTACATTCATCACATTTATAAGGTTTTTCTCCTGTGTGAGTTTTTTTATGCCTTGTCAACTTAGGATTATTAGGAAAACTTTTATCACAGACATCACATTTATAAGGCTTTTCCCCTGTATGTGTCTTCATATGGCATTTTAAATTTCCTGCTTGAGAAAACGTTTCATCACAGACATCACATTTATATGGCCTCTCACCCGTATGTGTTCTTTTGTGCACTAATAGAACAGAAAATGTTTTAAACCCTTTACTACAAATATCACATTTATATGGCTTTTCTCCTGTATGTGTCCTAGTATGATTTTTTAAAGTTCCAATAAAAGAAAATGTTTTATCACAGATATCACATTTATACGGCTTTTCTCCACTATGTGCCCTTGAATGTTTCGATAATTCTGAATATGTATGATACACTTTATCACAAAAATCACAGTTATATGACTTTTCTTCTGTATGTAACATCATATGGCTTTTTAAATTTCCTAAGTGAGAAAACATTTCATCACAGATATCACATTTATAAGGCTTTTCTCCTGTATGCGTCCTTGTATGGCATTTTAATTGATCTGATCTGGGAAATTCTTTATCACATACATCACACTTATATGGCATTTCTCCTGTATGTGTCCTTATATGTTTTGTTAAATTTGATTCTACAGAAAACGCCATACCACAAATATTACATTTATACGGCTTTTCCCCAGTATGTATCCTGTCATGCATTGCTAAATTAGATTCTGAAGAACAAACTTTAAAACAGATATCACATATAAATGGCTTTTTTATTTTATATGTGCTTTTATGACTTTTTGAAGTTCCTGTTTGAGAAAATGTTTCATGACGGGTATAACATGTAGAAGCATCTTCATTACATACATCACATTTGAATGATATTTCGTTTGAATGTGTTTTTGTATGGCTTTTTAAATTCTCTACTGGAGGAAATGTTTCATCACTATCACATCCATATGGCTTTTCCTCATTATGTGTCTTTTCATGCTTTGTTAATTCATATTCTGAAGAAAACACTTTAAAACAGATGACACATATACATGGATTATCTATTGCACATGTGCTTTCATGACGAGAAAAACATAAAGAAAAATCTTCATTACATACATCACAATTGAATGACATTTTGTTTGAATAAATTTTAAATTTTCTGCTTAAAAAAATGTCTTATTACAGATATCACATTTATATGGCTTTTTCCTAGTATATGACCTTGTATGCACTGCTAAATTTTAATCTGTAGAAAACACTTGAGGTATCACATTTAAACAACTTTTCCCAGTATATAATCCTTGTATTCGCAGCTAAGTTTAAATCTACAGAAAACACTTAATCACATGTATCACATTTACATGTTTTTTCTCCTGTATGACATAGTATATTATGTGATTTCAATCATTATTTACTATGAAATAATTTATTACAATAATCACAAATAGCTTTTGCCTTGAACTGGTATGAATCAATGTATACTTTGTCAAAAGCTTTTTTAGAATTAAATAATGTATTGCAGATCCTTTATTTTTGCTCTTTTTCTATGGACATTTTCTTCTATTTGACATAGTTTGTTCTAAAAAAAAAAAAAAAATACCAATATAGAATAAAAGATAATGATTATAACTAAAGAATATTAATTTAAAAAAAAAAATGAGTTATTTCATTTATAGAACAAGTTTTTGTAATTTGGTTTATACACACAAGTCTACACAACATGCTTTAGAGTTCCTATTTAAATACAATTTAAATTAAATTATTATTATACTTATAAGTTTTTTTTTAGTAGTTAAGTTCTTTTAAAACCTTTTTTTACATAGAGTTATGTTTAATTGAAGGTTTATAAGAATAAACAGCAAAACACTCTGCAATTCAAGGTAAAAATTTAAAGAATAATCCGCGAATTCAGCTCTACTGTTTGTGGGCGAGTCATTGCAAATTTCAATAACCCCATAAATCAATGACTTGACTCCATGGTTGAATATATTATGACAGAGTTAATTTTTTATACATGAATGAGTTATTTTCTGTGCAGTCTGAGAAAATTTGTTTCATTTTTAATAAAATTTGTGATTTTTATAACGTCTTTAAATTCATACTAATTTCTGAAACAACCTATATTACCAAATACCAATAATACTTCAGGTAAACTCAGAAATATTTTCATTTTTGCCTATTTTACTTATTCTAGATCCCCATGGAAAGATCTCAATAAAACCACCACTGAACTTTATGTTAAAAAAAAAAAATTACACCTTCTTTTATCAATAAAAATGAATATTATTACCTAACACAAAATGTCGTAATTTAAAAAAATACTAGGCGCTTTAAAATCCCAAGATGAGTTTAGTAATATAAAACAATACAGAATTCATGAACAAACTTCCCAGCTACAGCTTAATCTAAACACAGAAAAATCTTTGGTCACAATAAAATCTCTCAATTTTATAGCCAAACATAATATCCAAGGCATCTCATCCTCGTTAGCTCTCTCAATGCTATCACCTATTAGTAATATTAAAAATACATATAAACCATGAGATATTAGCCTATATTTTCTTAATTAAATTCACATTCTACATAACAAAAAGATTCTAACATAAAAGAAAACAAGCTAGCTAATTTCAAAGCCAAAAGTAAAATCAACTCTCCTCATATCATTATTCACACTTCTCTCATTTCAATAAATTCGATCTAGGTGATACTTAGATAAAAAAAAAAAAGTAAATGATTCTCACTTAACAAAAGAACAAAAAATAAAAGAAAAAATCAAAAAAAAACTAGAATTTAAATACAAAACTTGTTTTCAACTAAATCAAAATTATAGAAACTTGAAATTTTAAATAAATGCCCATATTGACATTTTTTTGAACATTTTTAACATGAGACAATTTTAATTTATATATTGTTGGCTACTATTTTTTTTCTTTAATAAAATTGTTGTACAAAAAATCTCAAATAAATAGATAATATACCAATTAAAAAATATAGATAGTCAATACAAGTCACAATACTTTCTTGTAGCAGTATTTGTTTAAACTTTTACAAATTTTTTTAACCAAAAAGAAAATTTTTAAATTATTTTTTTTTAAAACTTCAAACTTAAAATTTTTTTAGAAGATTGCTTATGAATAGAACGCAGATTCCTATGCAATGCATATTTTTTTCCCTTTTACTTTTTTGGATTTTTGTCAGATATCTTCATGAAATAACAATTTGAATCTAATGATGAATTTTTTTTTTGCATATTTCTGCATATTTAATGGTTATTACATATTATTTATGCATATTTTTACACATTTTTAAAAAAATTCAAAATATATTGCATATTAAAGCAAAATTTTAAAAATGATTTTGTTGGCATTAAATAATAACCAGAGCGCAAATTTATAAGCAATCCCTTTTTATTTTATTTTCACTTTTTTAGATTTTTTTTAGTTATTTTCACGAATCATAACAATTCGAATCTAAAGGTAAAATTTTATCTGTATATTTCTGTATGTTTTAACAAAATTCAAAATATATTGCATATTAAAACAAAATATTTTAATATACCTACTTGGTTTATTTAAGTAATTAATTGTTGTAAGTTGTTTAATTTGTGAATTTAATATAAATAAAAAAAATTTTCTTGCATATTTGTTGTATATTTTTATGATTTTTACTGCATATTATATGGCATATTTTAATACTTTTAATGCACAAAAATCCATGTTCTACTTATAAGTTATAAGTAAAAAAATTACAAAAATCCTTATTAGTAATTAATGTCTTCATATATGAAATGTTTTATTTTCAATCAATTTTTGATAATTAATCTAAAACTATACAAACACAATGTTGAATTTTTATTTTAACTATTGCAAATTTAATTTTTAACCAAGATTAGGAAACTTTATAAATCATAAAATAATTAAAAATTTGTAAAATATTCAATTTTGTAGCTAAGTAATATTCAGAAATATTATTTGCAGACATTAAAACTTTTATGTATACTTATATATTTTACTAATCAGTAATTACTATACACTTTGTCATTTTAAAATATTCAAATTTTAAGATATTGCCTAATTTTATAATTATAAGCGATTTTGTCTGAACTGACAAAGAATCAACTGAAAGCATTAACTATAATATATTGACTTAAAATTTTGACAATACTATCATTTCAAAATGTAGCGTTTACAGGAACTTTGTAAACTTTTCTGATGAAAATTGCACACTTTAAATTTTTTTATAATTTTGTGAAAATTTGAACTTCAAATACTTATTTAAATAAATGTGCCCATTTAATTTTAAATTGTACATATCTGAAAGAACAACTTATATGAGATAACTTATATTAAATTATCTAATTAAATTTTTTAAATTTTTAGACAAAAAAATAATTTTTTATTGACATAAAAAAAATAAAAATAAGTTCAAAAACCAATAAATAACTCAGAGACAAAATACTTTGAAAATCATACACCAAAACTACAGCTAACACAGCATCATCAAATCAACAACTTCACATCATCGTCAAATTCATCAACAAATTAAAATCAATCCTTAAACCTTTTTTAATTACCTAACTTTCTTATTTAACAAAATTCAACTCCCTATCATTCCTAATCCTTAACACATATCATATCTTCCATACATCAATAACACGTTAACACATTTATTTAATAATTTTAAACAAACTTATTGTAACATGTAATATTGATACATATTAATTAAAACAGATTAAAAAAAAAAAAAAAAATTAAATTATTATATAGATTCCTCAGTAGCAATGGTTTAATTTAGTTTAAATAATTATTGTACAAGGTCAAACAATTTGTTTTACATTTAATTTAATTAAAATAATCATGAAACTGCTACATTTTTTGCCAGAATTTCTTACTTTAGTAAATAAAATTGTGAATCAAGTTGATTTCTTTTTTATGTCAAAGCAAGTTTTCAAACACAATGTTTTTAATATAGCCTTGAACCTTAATATTGAAAGTTAATGATTACTCATTTGTGTATGTTCACATTTTAAATTTATACAATATCTTGTAAGTTTATAATATATATATTATTTAATAGTATATGTTAGTTTATGAAGTTATAAAATATTTTATAATGCATCAACATTAGTACTACACATTCTATTGTTGTATAAGATATTTTATCTGTGAATAAATAATCATCCAAAATAAACTGAGTAATTAAATACATAAATAATTAAAACACTAAGTTACAATTACAATAATTTGTAATTATATTATACTAATGTTATGCTCACTTAGAATTTATCGTAGTTATTAATAGTCGTTCTTAACTGTTTCATACTGAATTAGGTCTTCCTTAATGTTTTTTGAATTCTGTAAACATGATACATTAAAATAAAATTAGTATTGTTTATGTAAAACATGTCATTTTATAGTGAAAGGCCTAGCAATGTACATTTTTAACCCATTTATCCAACTTTTATTGTAAAACTCTTCTTAAGACTACCATAAATAAAATTAAAACAACATGTGTTTAAAATCTAATATCGAGCCATTTCTACTTGAAATATATTCTCACTATGGTCAAGAATATTGACAAACTATCAAGGAAAAATTAATAACATTAACATAAAATATTTAACTCTAGAACACATGCTTTACACTCTTAAAAACCAAGCTTTTAGAAATTTGTTCATTGTTTCAAGAACACGAAATTTTAACATAATCTAACCCAAGTAACCTTCTAATTAAATGATAAACTAAAATCAAAACAACTCTCAACTGTATATGATATAATTTCAATAACATAGAAGGGTTCAAAATGTATTACCTATTAAAATACAGTGTAAAAGACTATGCATACTATACCATGACATTTAAAAATTATTTTATTTTATGAACACTCAATGATGGGTTATTTTAGAATTGTGTTTCCTAATAATTACTGGCAAATAATAGGAGAAAATTATTTTTTTAGAACAAAACACTTTATAATTAATTAAATAATAATATAATAACATGTTTATGATATTGTTTAAATTATCAAAACAATTATTTGACAATTCTTTATTTATTTAAGAGCAATAAAATAATTTTAATTAAAATATTTCAATACACTGTCAAAAACACTATGTGCGTGAATTCTCATAAATATTTTAAATGCTTGTTTTCTAGGGATAATAAAAATATAATTCGTAGTAATATTTCACATTACCTACCTGTTTCTCTATTTGTCATTTTAGTTTTTATAAATACATGTACTCCCTCTCAAACAATTGCTGTGGCCTTAATTCAAACAAATTTGTTCCATCTTTCTACAAGTTTATAACATAATATGGCCCTACATTTACGTAGCCTAATAATTAAATGGACAGCAAACATTAAGATACTAAAAATTAATGAACTAAAACTGTACATCCTTATCACACTAAATATAAGGTCATATAACAAAAGAAATAATGTGTCTAGGTAGTTCATATACCATTATAAGGATTAAGATAGAATGAAAATTTCAAGTTATAAAATATTAATTAATGTAATTTTTGATTATACCTAATGGCAATTATAATAGTATAGGTACTAGAAAACAAAAACAGAATAGATTAGATGTAAAAAAAATACGTATTCCTGAGAGTTATGATTTGATATACCTACAAATTTTAAGCAGTGATTAGTTAAACTTAGTATAATCAGTAGACAAAATGATTATACAAATCGTAATACATAGACTAAATACATATTTTTATGCTCACACAGAATACATTGAAGTAGGTAGCCTAGGTATTCAATATATATTTACCTATTATTAAATATGAATTAACGATATGAAATTCATTTACTTTAATTTACAAGGTACTTACTACTCATTTACGGTGTATACTGTATAAGTAAAAATGCGAAAAAAATAAATACATAGGTACACAGGACAAATCTGTAATGCAAACGACTGCTTAGTCTCGGAGAACAATGATTAAAGAAAATAAATAATAAATAATAATACGTATTCATATGCAATGCGGTTTTATGTTTTACTTTGTTTTATCAAATTCTAAAACAATAAACCTAACCTATCACATAAATGATCATGATTGCATATATACATGTTTAAACCATGTCATGAACATATAATTTTAGTATGATAGCATAAACGTATTTTGAAAATCGAATCCGTTCGCCACGGACGTTTCACCAAAATTCAAATTATTTATGCTTTGTATACGAAAAATGTTGAGCTAAATTCAACAATACGGTAACATAATTAATCGTATGACAAAATTGTATAACCACTATGGAATCTGGATTACCAAATGCATACCACGGATACCTACCAATCACAGCAAAGCATTTTTATACATATACATACTACACGCTAGCATGTATGGTGGAGACCCGCCGTAAGAACAATTTTTTCTTTATGATCATTGCAAAAATAATTTTGAATTCAAAATATTACAACTTATAAATATATAATAATAAATAAAAAAAATAGTGTAATACTACAAATGTCCTTTACAATATTTAATTTAACAAAAAAAACTCCAAATTTTGATTTTACAACGTTGCCACTACAACCGTTATTATGGTATATAAATAACCAACCTTAATTTTGAAATTTCAAAATTTTACTTATTTAGTTGAGTTTGAGTAGGCCGCAAATAACGTAATAGTAACACTTTCAATCACAATTTTTCAAATAAAAATTTGATAACATTTGAATTAGCTACTGTGATAATTTTCTGATCTTGCCATCCCACCACGCCCTCTAAATCAACCAAGGTCATTTTAGTCATACAATTTGAAAAACAAAATAAATTGAAAAATAAGTGTTAAGTACCGCTCTGTTGTAATGATAATATAAAAACATGAAAAATATTTATCACACTGTTATTATGCTATTGTGGCATAAGATAAAAATAAATAAAAATAATAGTGATTGCTATTTGACTACTGCCACTTTTTATTATTCATATATCTATTACCTAATAACATTGGCTTTAGGATAGACTAAAATATTAGAGAATTTTATAATTAATTATATCCTTATGCTTATCTAAAAATATTGCATTTATTATAGGTATAATTAATATTTAATTATTATAATAATACCTAATTATTTATACCAAATTACATCAAATTCTCTATAAATCAAAATGTAATAAAATCTAGCTGTAAAGACTGTATGAGAGTAAAAGTAGACTCATACCATAAATAAATAAGTAATATTTAAAATAAACGTTTCAACAATTTTTTTGAATATAATATTTTCAATTATTGTAATCCAGGGTCAGAATATTATTATTAACAAATATGGGATAAAGTAATAATCCTAATTCTATTGATTAAATACCTATATATTATAACAATATTGAGAAAATTTGAGGGTAGGTATAATAAGCAAGAGCGTATGCGCCGATTGCGCCGACGCCCTGTCACTGTACAGTTTAAATCTTTAATTATTATATTAGATGATATTATTGATATTCGACATGAGCGGTACAGATTAATGACTATTACCAAATATTTTTATTTTTTGCGTACCAACTTATATCAGTAGTGTTTTTTATTGTTTGGTCAAAAAACTTATGTACTTACAAAAAAAAATTAAATTAGATTAAAAAAATAAAATTATTTAGTAAAAATTTACAATTTTTTTTTAGTTAGAATAACATTCAGAACTTTTATAGATAGCTCAATATGTTTTCGCAATACCAGCACACAATGCTAATGAAAAACGTGTATTTTATTTAATGAAAATTGAAAATACAATGAACTGACCACTGACAAACGAAATCGTATGCAGTATGATACCGTGGAAAGTATTTTAATGTACAAGTACAACTACAAAAAACTAGATCCAAATTTTATGAGTATGTTAACATTTAACCGTCTTTACTTTCATCAGTTAAATGATCAACTGAATAGAGAAAAAAGAACCCAGATGAACTACAAGTAAATTTTAAATAGGTACTTATTTTTTTGTTTGATAATTCAAAAGAAATATATATTTTATAATCAATTGAACAATAAATGCAATTTTTGATATAAATGTGTTTACTTTTTTAAAATGTATAAAATAATGTCTTTTATTTTTAGGTAGGAACTACCTGTTATGTTTCTGAAATATTTTTAGTCTAATTTGCTTATTTTGCTGTCTCACTCTGAATTAATTAATTAAATTATACAACCCTAATCTTCAAATAAATTTAAAAAATGTCAATGTGTACTGTAAAAGTTTTAGTCCTACAATGTTTTTGATTTATAACAAAATAATTATTTATCGTTAAAATACCACTTAATATTTTCATGTCTACAACAACTTTATTATATTTACATAATTGTAAACTAATTACTTTTTGAATCATAATTGTTACTTCTCAAGTTTTATTCCAAATTCCTCAATTGGTATTTAGAAATTTGTATATACTATGCGCCGCCTTTGATAAATATCATGGTGGCGTCTAAACAAAGAGATAACTTGTTTTATAAAGAAATATTTGATACTTTAATTTTTGTTTTACAAAAAGATAATATTAGGGACATATTACTTTTATTATATTATAGTACCAATAATAATAATTTTAAAGTAATAAATCCTTTTTTATATTTAATATTATTTATTTTTAAGTTTTGTGATAGAATCATCAATTTAACCCAAGTATAAAATGTACAGTACTTAATATTGTAATATACCGGTTAGCGTATAATGGTTGAGCATTTAAATTATTTGACAAATAACTCTTACCATAAGCTAATTTTTTCTTTAACTCAATTTTTTATTAATAATCTAAAAGAACAATTTTGTTATGTCGACAAATTCTTACTGTTATGACTTTGACACAAACGCACATTTATTGTTTTTACCTTGCAATATAGAAAATATAAACAAATTACATTTGATGAACATTTTTAATTTGAACCAACCAATTTAATAATTATATTTATTATACTACGAGGTCTGTTCAAAAAGTACCAGGATTTTATTTTTAATAATTACAAAAATGAAGTTACATATTATTTAAAGATATCGCCTTTAAAATACTCTCCTCCAGACGATATGCAGTGGTTCCAGCGATCTTACCATTTTTCGAAAGTCCTTTGGAACTGTTCTTAAGTTATAGCTTTGAGTTCTGTTGCCGTATTCGCTTTAATTTCCTCTACGACTTGAAATCGTTGTCCTTTAAGCGTAGATTTTATTCTTGTGAAAAGAAAAAAATCGCATGGGGCTAGATCAGGAGAATAGGGAGTGTGCGGGACCACAGGTATTTTTTTTCAGCCAAAAATTCACGAATTGACAATGCTGAATGTGCTGGCGCATTGTCGTGATGAAGAAACCAGGTTCCACTTCGTCATTTTTCTGGGCGCTTTTTGCGGATTCTCTCTTGCAAAATGGCAAGATCGCTGGAACCACTGCATAACGTCTGGAGGAGAGTATTTTGAAGGCGATATCTTTAAATAATATTTAACTTCATTTTTGTAATTATTACAAATAAAATCCTGGTACTTTTTGAACAGACCTTGTATAATTTAGAAAATACAGCACTGAAAAATGTAATTGCATATTTAATATAACGTTTCAAATCACCAATTAAGAAAAATGAATTTTTATTATTTTGCAGCATAATATTATTTAATTAAAAAATGTAAAAACCAATACATGAAAGGAAATAAATACAAAACAGTAGTATAGTACTTAAAAAATACCGCATGCCTTTACTTTGAAAAATGAGTAATGTTTCATTAATAAACGTATTTATACAATTTAATGAGATAACAATACTCTCTCATATAATTTAAGAGGAGTTATCAACTCCAAACACATTTAATATTTAGTAAGTACTCATTTACAAATATCATGAACTTAGTTCGGTATATTAGCTAAATAATCAGCCACTTGTTGTTGATCAAGCTTTTCAAAAATAATTTCATTCTGTCTATTTTTACGACAAACGCCAACCTCAATATTGTCTGCAGTCATTTGTCCTTCAAACCCTTCTTTTAATGCTAAAATAGCTGTATGAATAGCATCTTCCAATTCTAAATCTTCTTTATACCTAAAACAGTTTAAAAATAAAGGTAAATGATAAATAATAATAATTTATTAATATGATTTGATTAATTACATTTTTTTTATAAATATACAGCAGTTCTTAATATTTTGAATTTTTAAAATTAAAATTAAACTAATAAAAATAATTATGATAAATTGTAAATAAGAGCCGCGGTGCTTTAGGAATGAAGTTCAAACCTAAAGGTACCACAATGCATAGTTAGTGAACAGCTGCTATAAATATACCATAAACAGTTAGATCTATTAAAATTATTTTAATGAAATGATAACAATTCTAGATTTCATAGTCTAATGGTATATAATGCTACTAAAATGGTATTTAATCTAATGAATATACATTTAAACAATGATTAAAAGTATATTAAAAATAAAAATATATTAAGAAATGTATTTAAAATTTACCTTTTTTCTAAGAACTGTTTGCTATTAACGTAATTTTTTCCCAGTGCTGTGGCCTTCCATGCAAAAAAAGCGCCAGATGGATCACATTGATAAAGTTTAGGACCAGTTTCATCCCAACCACACACCAACAATGATACACCAAAAGGTCTTACACCACTGAAAATCAATTAATCAAATTTTAAATTATTAATATCTTGCTTTTGTAATTTTTAATTTCCAATTATAAATAGTGTTTTTTTTTTCATAATCCAAAACATTCTTTAAATATTATTTTTGATGATGGACTAATAGTAATCAAAATATAACTCGGTCTAATATCATGGGTTTTATTTTATAGGCATTTTATTTATAATGTTTACTTAACATATTTATAATAATAGGACTCTTGCAAAATAAATTATTTCTTTAACTCAATAATAAAAAACAATTTTAATTATCTATTAAAAAGTCCTCTTCATCAACTGCCACTCCAAAACTCACGGTAACTTAAAACTCTACAATAATAATATTTCTTGGACATTTAATATCAAATACTTCGGAGTAGTTCTGGATTGAAAACTAACGTGGAATTCACATATCATCTCCTAACTAAAACAAGGTTACCAGAGACTAAAAATACTATACTCTTTGATCAACCGCCATACCTTATTAAACTGGAGATGTTCTCTCATGCTTTATAAACAAATTCTATGACCATTACTTTTATAAGCAGTTTTCTTATGGGAAAACTGTGCTAAAATCCACGTACACAAAATATAAGTATTCCAATCCAAAGTTCTAAGAATAATATGTAACACTACAAGGTTTTTTTCGTAATGCTTCACTTCACCAAGATTTCCAGCTACTCACAATAACTGAATACATAAAAAAATTAACAATCAACTTCTTCAATCACATCAACTCTGCTCACAGTGCAAAATTTTACAGTATAAATGATCCACTTTCTGTAAACTGACTCAAGCAAGGACACCCACATGACATTTTATTATAATCTAATCTTTTTTTTTTTCAATTGTAAATATATAAAATGCAGTAGTATCTATTTTTCTTTGTTAACTACTTTTATAATTAAAATACAGTTCATTGTCGAACACTTATATTATCATCATAACTGATTTATGATAAGTTAGTTGTAGCTATTCTTTTTCTAAATGTCAAAAAAAATTGTAACTATATTAGCAATAAGTTTAGATGACAATGTCAGGAAAACTTTAATTAATGAAAAAAAAAAATTTCTAATTAAAAAACTCACTCTATGTTATAAAATTTTAAATTGAACCCATATCAACATAAACATTTTACAAGAACAATAACATGGTATTCTTGTCGTATGCGATCTACCGCACACTTGTCATCTACCACACATGTTCTTATATGTCATATGCAGTCTATCACACGTCTACACACTTTTTATCTACTAATGATAACTTTCAACGATTTGACGGCAATGACGATTAAGTTTTATCTTAACGATGTGATTTCTATATCAATAATAAAATACCTGCTATAATAAAACTTGGGTCCTGCCAAAATCGTGACTGTAGTTGTAAACGCATAAGATATCAATTCAGTTTGTGCTGTAATACTTACATGATCCATTATTTTTCAGTTTATTTACTGCACTTTTTAACATTATGTTAGCCAAACATTACAAAATATAAAAAGTATGTTATAGACCGCATATGACGCAGTGGCGTAACTGAGGGCCCGGAGACCCCGTGCTGCAGGGGAGAACATAGTAATTTGGGGCCTTTGGTTATAGGGTTATATTTGGTATAACAATATTTTTGGGGCCAATTTTTTATTTTTGCGGGAAGCTCAAATTTTTTTACTACACCACTGATATGACGTATAAAAACGTGTGGTAGACCACATATGACATGTAGAAACATGAGGTAGACCGCATACGACAAGAATACTAATAACATTATGCAATTTTTATACTAGGCATAAAGATACAACTTAAAATCCTTTCTTTTCTTTTTTTTTTTTTTTGTAACATGTTAATTTATACAAACATTTAAAACATTTATTTTTATATTAAAGATAACATTTAAAAAATAATTTAATTAAACCAAGGCCTCAAAAATATCTTTGTGCATTAGTCATAACCATTAACACCACAGTACTCTTAAGCCAACATCCTGAAGTAACTTTATATAAGAGTATATACCTCTATAATGGCATATAACATTAAGAATAAAAATATATTTTTAAAAATAAACATATTTAATGCATAATATTTTATTAAAATTTATCATAATGGACTTGGTAAAAACAAAATTGACTATGCCTGAGAATAGGTTTTTTTATATTGATGTCTAAAAACAATTTTTTTTTCTGTAGAATATTGTAGACCAGACCACTATTTGAGGGGATATTTGCTTAGCACTTTCTAATAACATAAATTACTTCAAATAATTACCCAGATTGTGTATATTCTTGCATAACACTAGCCACTTCTTGTACCAGTAAAGCTGTAGGTATTTCTTCTTCAAATTTCAATTGGTATTGTGCTGCTTCTTTTCTTGCTTTTCTGACAAGAAGTCTATAGTCTGGTCCCATACCTTAAAATACCATAACCAATAGATTAAAAACCTTGAGTAATATTTATATTTTATTATATATAAAAATAAAATATTTGTACTACATCAAATTCATATTTACCACTGTAGACCATTCCAATGCTAGGTGTAATTTTTTGCACTTTTTCTACTGTTGTTTCATATAAAAGAGATTTACGCTTGTTTTCTGTGGCAACTACAACTCCATTAGAAGCTACAAGAAAAAATTTAATATCAAAATAGAACAAAAATAGTAAAAACTAAATGCTGCCACAATTACATGTTTCAATAACACCCCTTATTTTATTCCAACACACATATATATATATAAATTTCTGAACTCTAAATTCATAAATTGCATTATTTTAAAACAAAAAACAATCACCAAATAGACTAACATTTATTTAATTAAAATAATATAATAACAGTTGAGCTACAATAACTCGAAACATATTAAATCAACTTCAAACTTTCTAACTCTACACTGATACATTTTCAATAAGTCTAAATTATCGTCAACTATGAGTTAATAAACTTCAACTGTACTATTATTGCCTATTGGTAACAAGAAATTGATAAATCTAAACAATAACTTTATTTTAAAGAAATTATAGACACTTTTAGTATGTTTTAAATATTAATCAGATAAATACATGATTTTAATTAGTATTCAGTTAATTAAATTACCAAAATATAAAATAAAAATCTTTTTATACAAACCTTTAATACCAACTGATGCTGCACCAGCCGACACAGCCGCCAATGCATATTCAATCTGAACAAGTTTACCAGATGGACTGTAAAAGTAACATAAACAATTACAATAAATCTGAAGGACATTAATATTCACATTGATATTAAATGCTCGATACAATTTTGACAGAATAAAATTATAAAATATCATAAAACTGTCGAACAATGATAGAAAAGCTTAATTTTACCTGAATGTAGTTAACGAAAAGCTGTATCTTTCAGTAGCCATATTTGACAAAAAATGTTATTCTATTAACTAGGAAAAAAGAATAATGATATAAATCTTCAGTATTCCTCAAATAATCAAATAAAAATTATTAGCACAGAACAATTCTGTGTTGTTAGTATCTAGGATCTGCTATAGTCTAGAATCAAGATTACAATTACTAAGCGGAAAATTTAAAGTTTACAATATTGTACATTTGTGCCATAATAATTGTTTGAGGTTAAAAAAAATATATAGCAGTGACGTCACAACATTGTCACTAGGTATAATTATACATTATTATCACAATAAACCTTGTTCCACAGTCCGTGACAAGAATAATCAATAAGAAGCAAGAACCATTCTAGTGATAATGTGATAAGAATTACAATAATACAATGTTATTATTTATAAAAGATAATTTACAATTTATCAAAAACAGATAGGTATCTACGACTTACCACCCTATTTCAATTTAGTTTTTGGCATTTCGTTTGTAAAAATGATGAAAAATTTAAAAAACGTGGCGTCACAAAATTTATTGTTGCCTAACCGTCTGATAAAACCATCAAAGAAACAAAACCAATCAGAAGAAAACGACTGGTGAGTTGTAAAATGTACATATTATACGCTACTTTATTTTGAAAAGTAAACTCGTATTAAAATCTATTAATATTATTCATGAAAACCAACTACTTAAAATAGTTTATTAGATATCAACAAGTTTATGAATACGCTTTCTATTAATTATATTCCACTTAATGTATTAATACATTAGTATGTTTGATGTATACTTAAAATAAAATAAAAATATATAATAAACATTGAGTACCTATATAATTGTAAGTTATTTAGATAAGTATTTAGAAGTTGATTATATTGGTATTATACAAAGCATTTAAAATAATTGTTAGAAAAAGTATCTACTTGTATTCATTTAACATATTTAATTAAATATGGGAGTACATAAAGTATATATACTAGTTTTATTAATTGTCTAAGTGACTTTTTAAAATTTAAATGATTAGGCTTAGGTTTTAAATTTTATATCATTTTCTATAGTTTTACTTTAATATACTTGTGTAAAATTTTAATTATAAGTAATAATTTATAAACTGTTCTTTATAGATATTTTTGTGGTTATGTTGCATATCAATATATTTTTTTCCTATTATAAAATATATTATTTTAGTTCACTAGTAGAAACTAGTTAGATATAATAGCGCAACTAGCACTAAATCTTAGGGAAGCTAACTTTAATATTATACCAAAGGTAATCCATAGGGGCTTTACCCTAATACCCATCAATCTTCAAATTTAAACATTCCAAATATATCTACATTTACTTTTAATTATATTATAGGATAGTTGTTTACAAGTTATTCAAAATTCATTTTTCTTTTTTTTTATGGCTGTAAATTGTAAAATTTGCTCAGAATAAATATATGTATATTTTTTAATACTTAGTATGGATAAATTACTGAAACAATCCTATACCATCTTAGATCTCAAATAGAACTTATTCACCTCATAACAAAAAATGCATGCTCAGATGTATCAGAAGAATTGTACAATATATTAGCCACTTGAATCATCTTATACAAGTTTTGGATACATTTTCCTACATGAGATCAAAATTAATTGTTTTTTAATATTACAGATTGTATCTTTAAAAATAACCATTTTATTTTTTAAATCACATTTATTAATTTTAAATATCTTAATAATTTGTATTAGTTAGCAAATAAAAATTTTCTTACTGCTAAAAAATTAATCAAAAATATATTATCTTATAAGTGTATAACCAATACTTTTATTACTAAAATCTTTAAATAAATTATAATATTGTAAAGTTAAATTTAATTTTTTTTCTAGGTTATTAGTTGCTACAAATTGGTACTTTTGGATTTATACATGGACATTAATGGTAGTTGCAGTTATTGGCTTAGGTGCCACAATTATGTTGATGGTTGTATTACGGTTCACTACTAGAATGGAAAGTATAGAATTTTTAACTGACAGTGAGCTGACTAAACTTATGGGCAATATCGATTTAGACGATATATATAAAGTTGATGGTATCATGGAAGGGTTTAAAGACATACCATTAGAAATAATGAGTGATAATGATAATATACTTTTACATGTTGTTAACCCAGAAGACAAAAGTAAGTTGTATAAATCCAGTAAAGAATATAAGCTGTAGTTATTATGCACTGAAATTTATTATATTTTCTTTAGGTTTGGAATCAGCAATTGAACTTGGATTTTCTAAAACACAAGTAAAAAACATTGATTCATTCACAGTGGGAGATCCAGAAAACCCTATTTTTACTACATCATTTCCAAATTTTGGACTTCCAGAAGGAGTCCGTCATTTGGATGTAGCCACAGTATACACCAATCGGATAGTAAGTCCAATAAACGAAACTCTGATATTGAAATCTTCAAATTATACTCGGCTGAAAGGTAATGAAGGAACTGTCATTGATGGTTCTAAAATAAAATGGTCAGCCGAAGGAGATATATTTCTCAGATCAGTAAATGGCACAGTAGTACTAAGTTCTGCAGGAATTTACTTAGATGTACAGAATTTACCTGTAGTACTGTCAAACAAATTTGCTGCTCATCAATATAAATTATGCATATGTATGCCGAGCGGAATGGTATTCAGAGTTCCAGTGTCAACAAGTTACAATTCTCACATGGCTTGTAGTATGATTGATATAGGAGAAAGTAATCATCCGTGCAAATAAAATGGTAATTACTGTTATGTATAGTTTATTTAAATTTATAAAAACTCAGATAAATAGTTAAATCATTAGTTCTACCATTGTATATAAATACTATAATCAATGGTTCTATTAACTATAAATTAGTCTAAGAAAAAAAAATACCATTATTATTTTTCAAACTTGTTGTGGTTTAAGACTTCTTGAATTTTTTTTATTGTTATTGTTCAATATTCTATTTAAAATATATAATTATTCTATGAAATGGTGATATTCAGTACAAAGTTTGATTGTATATTTAGTTTTTTCACAAAGTTGTTAGTATTTTTAACAATATTTTCATATACATTTATATACACCACAATTTGCCCCCCTCCTCCTATAATTTTAATAATTTTAATTGCATACTTTAAACTTTAATGTATATGTCTCAAATACTAATAATACACATTTCTAATATAAATTATTGCCATAAATTTGAGTTATTTTAATTGCATATACTTACCATTCCATAACTGTTTTGAGTTGGTTAACTTAATAATTTGTACTTTTTTTAACGCTTGTCTTCAATTCCATTTTTTTTTAATTTAAATATCTCACTAACAAATTGTTATTGATCTTTCATGAGATTTTTTTTAGTAATGTATAGAAATTTATATGCCTAAATTAGTGTGAAATAAAATACATCATTGATATGGTTCATTGTTCTTGTATGGGATAGTTTTACACTTGTTTGGAACCTCAAATTGTTTGTATGCGTCATGCAAGTGAATCAATACTTGACACCAGTTACTTAATCCTAGGCTCTATTGCAATAATGCTATTGTCAATTTTTAATGCTTTTGTTTTTGAATATATAACTATTTATACTTTAATATTGTGTCAAATAATACGTAATGTAATACAAAAAAGCTCAAAGTAATTAACTTTACTATTAATGTCCCTTAATAATTTTATATTTGTGGCTTAGTGTATTATATGCTCTAGCTAATAAGTCATCAATATCTTAAACTGATTTTACTGAAATAAACATTTTTACTATTTTAACTGATTTTTTCTTAAATATTGTGTAAAAACATTTTGTCAGTATTATAAAACATTAAATAAAGTAAACATATACTTACCATTTGTAGACAAATGTGTATGTATTTTATATACATAAAATTACTAATAATTATTTATTTTTGATATTGTTTTATTCTAATAATTAAATGTACTTAAAAAAATAACATTTTTCTACTACTTGATAATTTTTTTTGAAAAAAAAAACTCCAGTGACAGTGCTAATTTTATTATAGTTTACTATAACTTTTTAATCTTGATATTAAGTAATCACCTCTAGGAATATTATTTTCATATACCATTTAAGTTTAAGCCAATAAAACTTTAAATTATCAGTAATGCTAATGTATTTATAGTTTATACAACAGTTAATTAATAAAATAATTTAATTTTTTGTTTTAGTTTATTCTGGTATAATTTATATTATACACTGTGGACGATGGAATCAATCAAACCATCAAGTAAACTCAAAATGTATCACAAAAAGAAAAAGTATTAGCCGAGAACTGAATGGATTTCAACCTATTAACTATCGTTTGAGGTGTATTTCATGTTAGTACAATTAAATATTTCATTGTTTGCTGAATTAATGAAATAACTCCAATTTAATTAGTTTATAGGTGGTAGTAAACAAATTAATATTATTGTTGTTGTTTTTTATTATTATTATTATTATATTATATTATATTAATATTAAAATAATACTACTAGTCTTAAAATACTAATCTAGTCACATTTGTACTTAAGTTGTGTATTTAACCACATTTAAAATATGTTATGATATAACTCTTGTTTTTATAATACAATCAATAAAAAAAATTGTGTTTTCAACCTGTCTTATATCAGAAGGAATTTATTTAATGAGAGGGTTGTACAAACAATGAAGTACTTGAATGTGTAAATATAATATATCGTAATATGAATTTATAATAGAAAATGAACCAGTTATGCACACTCAATACACACAAAAACACAAAATATATACACGAAAAATCACAAATTTTTAAAAACTAATTTATAACTATTGACTCAAGTACTTTCCATTGCTACTTCTTCATTTTCTGTTCCTGCCGCATCCACATCTTCTACCATCTCTTCTTGTTTTTCGTACGCTTTTTGCAAGTCTTCAAAAATAACAGTGTTGATAGACTTCAATTTTAGAATGTCTGAAAAACAAAAATTCAACATCAAATGTACATTCATACGTCAAAAGAAGTTGTACATACTATCGTTTCCATTTAGTACAGCAATAAAACCACCATGAGCCATCACGCGAACCAAATGTTGTGCAGTCATGCACAATAAATCTTGTTGTTCTAATGATAGTAAGGTTTGAATTCTTATGTTACCACTTTCGCAAGGATCTATTATTCCAGCTGAACCAGGAAGAAATAGCCCGCCAGCTAGTAATTGTATGACTCTCCTGTATGCTATCTGAATAGGTAATGTTTGTTTGTTGTTTAACAATGAACGATGAGCCTAAGGAAAATGAAAAAAACTGCGTAAGTTTCTTAAACTTGATGTGAAAAAGTCATTGTCATTCAACTAATAATTTATTTCTTAAGTTTCAAACAATTCAAACTAACCAATAAGTCTATCATCCATGGATTTAAACACTTAAGTCCACTGAAACGGTTGCGCAAATCTTTAAGAAGCCTAACAAGCATCTTATTTGATGAATGAGAAGCATTGTCATCAAACCACCGACTGCAAATAAAAAAAAACAAAGACATTAAGTGAATACTGAAATTATCACTAAAAATATTAATATTTAAATAATAAAATTAAAAATAGTAATAGTTGTTGATTAGCACTCGTAACTTGAAACTCTAAAACAGATTGTTATAATCACAATAATATGCATTTAATAAATCATATAAGTATTTAAATATGCACTAAAAATGTTAAATAAGTAAAAATATAAATTTTTTCTATTGGTTCATTAAAAATGCCAAATTTTTCTTTGTTGGAACATTAGACTGGCTAAGTTCAAAAAAAAAAAAAAATAAAAAAAAAATAACCAAAATTTTCATTCATAAATCTGTAAAATATTTTTTAGGCATCATTAAAAAAATGTGGGAAAACTAGGTTTACAAATCAATGAGAAATTGTGTTCAAGTAACTGGTTGTTTCTAAGAAAAAATGAAAACATCAGAGGATACCTATAAACTTAAAAAATATTATTTATTAACGCATGCACTACAATAGTAAAGCCAATTAATTAACAATACTATTAAACAGTCTATTTATCAGTTGACAAATATACATCAACCAATATAATATTTAGTGCCGAACATAATAATTTAAATATAAACTAATAAACACTAGCATAGTAGTAATAAAATTTCTAGATAATTTAAATATTTCTTCTATAAAATTATAATATAAGTGTAAAATAATGCTAAAATCACAAAAATAGGATAATAGCATCAATATTTAAAAATATGTAACTATACTTTTCATATTATATTACTTGGTTATCTAAAACACATTTATAATTTAAGTTTTCTAAAATAAATATTAATTATCATATCACAACCTATATTATAATCTATTACCTATTTACCTACATGTAATATTATTTAATTTATGTATAAGCAATATGACAAACAAAATTTGACTAAAGAAATTTTTTAGAGCTAGAAATTTATTTTGAATTTAAAAATTAAAATTTGTGTAAATGAATATAATTATCATAGTATTTTTTTATATTAATTGTTGATGATCTATGTCCTATAACAAAAATTCAAAATTAGCATATAATTTTAAATTATATATTATACTGTAAGGGATAGTGGTTGGATCATTGTTTAAATACTTTTTTTAGGTTTTGAAATATGCCTGCCATGTCAATGTTTTTAAGTACTTGTATTTATTTATTTTTTTTTTGTTACACAAATTAATCAATAATTCTGAGAACAATGACAAAGATGTATGACGTATGAAACTAAATAGTTAACATACTAAATATTTTAATAAAAAATTACCTATGGCGTATGGCACCCATGTGTAGTTTCATTGCATTTGCATCCAAGTGTAGACCAGATGTAAGCTTCTTTAAATTTGTAGATATAGTAGAAATTAGTATACGTACAGTACCTTGTGATGAAATAACATCAAAACCAGTGCTGTCTGGAGCCATCAAAACATCTAAAAATGATATTAAAAAAACAAATTAACACACACGATGAATATAATAAAAAATAATTAAATAAGCAAATTCTAAACCAACCCTCAGCAATTTGCATTCCACTTGGATAACTTTCTCCAGTTGGATAACTTTCTTTGAAGTCAGCTATAATTCGCTGTGATAAAGATATTACACTCTCTTTAGTCGGTAAAGTTTTAAAAATAACCACTATGTCAGCCACAGTGTGGCCTTTCATGATAGTCGCTTTTTTAAAAGATCCAACTACTCTAACCTCTTCAATCTATAATGTAAACATAATAAACATAATATTACAAATTGAGAATAATTAAAAGTATATGCCATAAAAATAAACCTACAGATACTTCGGTTTTGCCTGGGGATATAATAATATTATCCAGTATAGACTGTATTTTGGTAACAACTCCCAACAGGGATGAATGATCTTCGGAACTGGGTGTTAGCACCTGTGCCCTTTTGAGCAAAGCCTAGAGAATAAAGATATATTATAATAATAGGTAGGTATACAATGTTTTTGTATAGAAAACAATTGCAAGATTAGTCAAGGAATATACACTTACAGCATTGAAAGCTGATTCTTCGGTAGTGTGAGCGCCAGGCTTAACACGAGGGAAAGCGCCTTCGCAAAGGACTATATCAAAAGGATGTCTTGGAACTCTGCGGGACATGAATGGAGGAACCATTGGTCCGGCTAATGATGGTGGAAATCTATTCATATTGATACGTCCACTACCGCGAACCATTGGTTTTCAAAACAAACCGTCGAATACTGACAAACTTAGACGACGACAAGTAGTTTCTACTAATAAATAAATAAATATTTAGTTAACATAAATATAATATTTGAATAGAGTTTATGCATATCTAACCATTAAACAAGAGTAAACTCACAGAAGACAAAAAAGTGAAGACCGCAGGGTCAACACTTGGCAGACGGTAGACGCTACTACGCTGGAGCGGTGAGTAGTAGATAAATTACAATATAACGATAACAACAAGTTTAACAACATAACCTCTAAAAAAGTCAAAGCCATTGACAGATAATATTGTTTCGTGGAGTAAAAAATATATATAATTTATTCATTCAATGATAACAATATCATTGTGTAAAGTTTTTTTTAGCGCCAACTCATTTTAAACATTTTTTTTTTTTATTATATTTTTTTAAATTTTATTCTTTTCTATAAAAGTATGTGCTCTGAAATTAGCATCGCATATTGTAACGTACATCAGACTTCCACAAATTTTAATTAAAAAATAATATTTTTGAATCTATAGTTTCGTTGTTCTAAATTATATTACCTACCTACCTGTAATAATAAATTAATACGCGAATTCCTGATTTATAAGTGCCGTTGTATATGTAATAAAGTGATAAACTTTATATATTTAATATTTTAATATTGTTTTAAGAGTAAATTGTTGACTTTCAGTGAACTAAACACTATTCGTTTTTTTTTCTCTAACACATCTACAACGTATAGACAAAATGTATTTATACAGAGCAACCAGCAGGTAATCTTCAAGTAAAAAAATTTTCCAAAAATTATAAAGAATAATATGTTTGATGATATGATGTATAACTTTTTTTAAATATTATCTCAAAAAAATGTGATAGGTACCCAATACCCATATTAAATAAGTAAATTTATAGTAAATTTTATTTTAGTTTTTCACTCAAAAATAAAATAAAATACAAAACCAATATGCCAATAATTTTCAAAAATATTATTTTCTGTATTTTTTTTTTTATAAAAGATTTCAATATAAAATTACTTAAAAAACTATAAAAAAACGAATTTGCATGAATGCGTTTCGTTTATGTTTTGCGTGAGTCAAAGATAGAAAAAATAAATCCAAACAACATCCTCTTAGTACTAATGTTATGTCCTCAAAAACTACACTTTACGATAATAATAATCATATCCAGACTGTCCGGTTGAATCAACTAAATTTGATTATTTTATTTTAAAATTAATAAAGAGGAAAATATTCTATAGCTTCTCATTGAATTGCATTTTTCAATATTGAATATTTTAATCTCAAACTTTATTTGCCTTTAAATCAAAAATTAATTAATTTATGTATACAAAATATATTGTTTATATAATAGTTATAAAAATTAAGTTCACAGGAATATTTATTAATTAATGCGATAATGCGTGATATAAGTTAAAATTTAAAAATCACTAAATAATTAAAATTAAATAAATTTATAATGTGAGTACTGAAAATCATCTAACGATATTTGATCAGTGATCACTTACGATAGTACAACACGACCTTAAGACGCTATCTTGACGTACAGCTATTGACTTATTAGTTATTGTAATCTTTCTCAAATTTGAATAAATCAAACATTTTTTAACCGTTTAGCAACTTATAATAGTTATTAATTACCCATTGGAAGGCAACTAGTATAAGATTCTTTTCGTTTACGAAAAAATTTAGGATACATTAGTAAGCAACTCGTATGCGTCTGTTTCAATAATAGAAATATTTAGGTTTACGTTAAGTAAATACCTACGTACAACACACCTCATTTAGCTCATAGGATATAATAGTATAAAATATAAAATGTACAGATATTATATTAACTATTTTAATATTTTACAGTTGTTTGTATATTGTCTATATTTTATACTTATTATTATCTATGTTTATAATTTATTATAAATTATAATACATTTCTGTAGCTGCATGCCATCACTACTGATTCAATTTAATATGCTAAACTTAGAGTAAGGAACTTAACAATTTTAAACATGCTGAAAAATATGATACCCACGTGAAACTATGAAAATTGAAAAAAATCTTTACTTTTGCATGGTGTTTTTCTATAAATACATTAAATATTGACATGTAGCTTGTAGATCTTATGCAGATTCCAGACACACTTATAATTATAATTTATGACATAATTATACGTGGACCAATCAATCTATTTCAGTCAATCACATTGTTCTCGAATACATTACCGGATTAATATAATAGGTATACTTACATTGCAGTTATGTAGTCTATTTACACTGTAATATCTATAAAATAATTATTAAATACGAGTATATTCAATATTGAATGTGTTAGATTTCGCAAACAGTATACATATTTCAAACGTTAAACGCGCATGCAAATTTATTATTAATTTTTATGGTTAATAATGTAATATTTTTAAATTTTACAATAGCTTGCTGATCTCATAACATTAAAATATATATCTATATTTTTTACATTAAAAATAATCAATTATTATGTTCTAAAAAATCATTAGAGTGTATATAATTGAATACAAAAGATACTCATATTAGTGATATATTATGCAATGTTTTGCATGTCTCAATGCATATACTGCTGTTATATTTCAGTTATACCCAAATATAAATTAATTATTATAATACCTAATGGCTAACATGTTTATCATTCACGGTTTGTTAATTGCAATGTTCGTTCTATTTCAATGTCACTATGTCAGTTACAGAAATAAAATTGCGTTTTACAAATTTCGTTGTACATTATTAAAAAAATTCTGAAGTACCTCTACTCTCTAGTCACTACTCATTTGTATTTAATTTGAGATTGTCCGTAACTTCAATTGAAGGTCTGCAAGTACTTAAGCGTTGTATTTAACAATGTACACATAATCTGCTGACAAACGGGAAAAAGTTTCTAAATGTGGGTTAAAAGTGAACGTTTTACTAAAAAATTTAAATCAATTTTATAATATAATATCATGACTTGATCGAGTTATAGTTTATTCTTAGTGCATGAATTGTGCATTTTTTATTACTATTAATAAGTAAACATTCTTATTTTATTATTATAGAATATGAGTAGAGCATCGACTGAAAAAAAGAAATATTGATTATTTACATTATTGATTTGCGTATAATTATAATATACCAATAAAATAACTTTACAAATAACTAATACTATAATAATTTTAAATTCTGAATGGAGTAATGAATGTAGTGATTATACAAATAAATATTTATTTGTGTCTAAAGCATTCGGTCAATTATAATAATAATAATATACCTACAATACAGTAGTATAATACAATGGCATGCATATAAGCAACGTAGACGTTGCTAAAACGTTATGGGTATATTTTTAAATACCTAACTAAATTAAAATGTAATTTACGCTGTTATCAAGTTTTAACAATGTAAAATTAAATATTAAATTATGTTGATGGCATTATTTTTAAATATTATTGTTATTTATTGCCTATCGCTAATCTAAAAACAACACCGTTGATTTCAGGCATTTTCGGTCGTAAACGGTATAGATAACAAGCCAAGAAAACTTGATAAAATGTCTCTCGAACTTTCAACACATAAACGTTATCGCCAACAATAAGTATGTAAACAATTCTAATTTATTTACCTATTATGTATACAGTATATTATGAGAGTTAAAAGTTCGTAGTATAGAAATAATTGCATTAGGTTACCATAGTGATTTTAATCAATATCAATATATCATTTTATTTATTTCATTTTTGGAAGTGTCATCATCAGCTATCGCCTCAAAATTAAGAGTTCCGCAGGCACCCCAAAAAAAGTCTATTTTAAAACAAAACGAAATTTGAACTTGACTAATGAATAATAATTCTAAAAAAATGAAGAGAAACATGAGTATTGGCAAAACTTTTTAGTTATAAAAATAGTTAAAGATTTTTCCTGGTATCAGAGATAAAACTTTTTAATTTTTTATTAATACAATAAAAAAAAAATATATATATATAGAATAAATAAAATGAACAGAGGTCTCTTCGAAGCGAGTACAATGATTTTATACATACAATTTTTACTTTTTATTTTAATGATGTTAAGAATAATTATAAATTAATGTAAAGAATAAGATTTTCCAATGCAAAATACTTAAAAAAATGTGTGAGTATAAGAATAATTTAAAAAAAGAATAAGTTGCGGATGACAATGATTATACAATAAATTTAGAGAGGTTTTATAGTGCTCAAGGTTAAACTAAATTAAAATGAAACAATTATATCATAACTAAAGAATGATAATATTTGGTAGACATTTCAAGGTTATAGGAGTTTTCTTTTTTAAATAACAAAAAAAAACCAAATAACGTGAATTTTCTCGCTTCCTATGTTTATATTTTTTTTTTTAGTTTTTTCTTATTTATAACTATTTTTACTTTTAACCTCCCAAAATATTCAGTAGATTGAATTTTCTGTCTCAATGTTAAAAATCTTATTTTTTTATTTATAAAAGATTCACTCAGAATATATAGGTAATATAATAGCTATACTGATCAGATAAGTCCATGATAAAACCTTTTATAATAATTTTTTTTTTTTTTAATTTCAAATCATTCAAATTGACCGTAAAACATAATAAAAATATTCTGTGTATTCATAAGATAAAAGCTAATCTCTAAGATACCATCAGCTCGTTTCGCTCCAATTACGATCCTAAAAAAGGAAATATAATTTCTCATCTCTATTAAACGTTTGCAACTACCTTGACATGTAACTTACACAGACAATAACTTATTAATTAGTAAACACCTGTCTGTTAGAATATACTGATATTAGGCCAGCTACTGACATAAATAGTACTATGGGTGAGAGATACATATCATTAATGTAAGTATATATGATAGATCAGAGAAAAAAAAAAGTCAAATATTATAATACCTATATAAGATTGTTTACAAAACGAAAAGATTAAATTTCTTTATTAGATATATTATGCTACACGGCAAGTGGGTCATTTAGTTGGAAATCTTTGAATGATATTATAATCTACAAACAAAGGTTTTTGGTGGGGATTCCGTGTTGAATGATTGAGGTTTTTAAGAAAATAATATTATTTACATCAAATTAATTTACGGCTGATATATTTTAAAATAATTTTTATGTAACACACGTTTTGAAAATATATAAGTTTTGGATACACAATAATATTATTAATATAATAATTTTTGTGTAGATATATTTCAATTAAATTAAAAAATATATGTATATTAAAATATCGTAGAAACCAATGAATGATCACAATTCACAAATAATGTTCTTATACATTACATATTTAGATTTTGTCTTCTTTAAATTATTGCGCCACCACTCCAATACATATTAATATCTGTTCCCCATATCTTTGTTACATGTACTCGTATAATCATATTATAGTAAAATCATGTTCTATAAAATCAAATTATTAATTTACGTTTTAGTTTAAAGTTGTATGATTTATAGATTACCCTAAAATTAATATCGACATAATAAAAAAATTAAATAATTACAACTAAAACCTCCGAAACCTTGAAATTTATTAATAAAATACAATTTAAAAACTACTGAGAGTGCTTTTATTTTTAAAGTTATAAAATATCTAAAAATATAAATCAACCCAACTTCAATTTAATTACACTTTATGCAATATTATTACGTATATTATATGCATGTGAGTATGTAACTAACTACAATGACAAATAATATTAATTTTTAATTTGAGTAAATAGTAGATAATATAGTGCGTTCTAATTTTTTCTTTTATGATTAGGTACAGTTTTTAGATTTTTTGTGTTCCTATGATGCAAGAAAACGCGTACCTAGATACTAATAATATTATGATAGTACAAGTCTGACCGTGTAACAAAACACATTAAAATGTTTGACGTTAAAATAGTATATACTTACCAAATATCAATGCATAGGTTTTGTCTATATATACATGATTAGAATGTCGTAAGAATCGATCTTTATTCGTTTTCTTTATTGTTTTGATATTGTGCCACCGATTAACGATCTATAAGTTTATGCACGTTACCTACATACAAAACACTTAATTTTGTTTAAACCTTTCGACTGTCACAATATTATAATTATATACAATTTATGGACCTTGACCATCACCTAAAATACGCTTATACGTCAACACTGAGAATATTTTAACTAATATATTATACTGAAAATTAAGAAAAATGTTTGTCGTTTTATAGATAATATATTTAATAACTGGGTGACAATTCGACAATGACGTTTAGTAAATTAATGACGAAATTTTAAATTATTTTACAATTTTATTTGATGGTAAACGGTAATTTATTTTTATGTTTAATTTTGTTATTTATATTTTTATCATTTCATTTGATAATTTGAACTTGTAAGTAAAAATAATTATTGAGATTTTGTGCGATGGAAATCCGTGTGTAACCGACAACCGTTTACTGTAGGTTTTTATTAGATAATTCAATGCAAGAAAACACTATTGTATTGACAACACTCCTACCACTCACTTGAGCACGCTACTGTCCATACCTATTAGCTGAATATTTTTTTTTACTTTGAACTTTCAAGCTATTAAGAAATTTGAAAATATAATACAATTTTAATTTTTTGTTCTATTTTATACTATGTAGTTTTTTATACTTACATAATATTTATATTGAATGTCATCCATTATGTTATAATTAAAAAGGTTAAATTTAATTTATAAATTATTTGTACTTGTTTATGTGTTCCAAGTTTTGATAGTATTGTTAGATAAATGTAAGATTTTGTTTACATCATGTTGATTTTAATTACGACATGTAGCGTGGAAAATTATTTTTTATTTTTGATGGCATTGATGTCACCCAGTGATAAATCTTTATGACTATTAACTGCGCCTACACCAACATAAATAATAATAAATGTTGAAAAATAAATAAATAAGATGAAAATCATACAGTTTTTGGACAAAAACAAAGTAAAAACCGCATACATTCGATTGTAAATCAAAAAAAGAGTTATCTATTTCATAATATTACAAGTTAATAGGTATACACATATCCAATAATAGACAGTCTTACCTTCACACTATCGGTAACACTCCGTGGTCTACATAATATAATATTAAAACTGTAAATAAGTACGTAAAAATAAATTTCGTAATCACAATAAAGCTTCTAAAAATTGAATGCAGATTTATGTAGTAACTTCTTTATAGGTAGTCCGGATATTAACTTTCATTTTACGCTGAACGAATTTCTTTTCAAAGCAAAAAAGTATTTCATATTACGTAACACTTTGTAATAACCATGGTCATTTATAAATATACATTGTAAATTTAATCATATATCATGCAACCATACAAATATCATTTTATCTTATACTATTAAATACAAACTAAATATTTATTTGTTAATTTTTTGAAAAAAAAAATACTCATAGGCTATAGATTTGTTTTTACCTTTATTTCACGATTTTATTCTTGTAGTTACAATTTTCAATAATAGATGAATATAGTTGGTCTCTAGTTTTTTTTTAACGTCTACAAGGGTGAAAATTTACTAATAACCATGGTCTGTATTTGAAAAATAAGTTCGTACGATCGATCGTTTGTCTATTATTTAGTGTTCTCGGAAATCATAATAAACTATCAAATATAATATGCTTGAATAGTGGAATCGATTTGATATTATTACTTATTAAACAGCCACACTACAACGGAGACCGGAACGAAAAACTCGATACAGGCCCGGCATGTATTTTAAAATATAATGAGCCTGTGCTCCGGGCGACTCAGCTGCATGCTCATTCGAAATAGATAAATAATTATCATAGCGACCATATAACATTATAACTGCCTGCCTACCAGTTAATAGCTGTAACCACGCGCGTATTATACTCGAATTTTTCTCGCGGGTCATTTGCGCGCAAGGTCACCGAAAATCTAGAAATTGAAAAGTCGGCCGATGCAGCCGATTATCGTACGGTTTTACTTTTTTTGCGCGGCCTAGTTGTAATCGCATTATATATAGGTCCATTTTGCGCAGAGTTGCGTCTGCCCGCGGAAAAATGGAAAACGGGCGGGGACACGATGAGTGGCCAATATACGTGACCCATCACGAGGAGATGAAAGATGATGGGTAAAAAATTGACTACCGATCTTCGCTTTCACCGTCGTTTGGTGCCAAAAATCCCAAAGTTAAAAAAACAAAACAGCAGCAAGCAGAAACTGCACACTCGCGATCCTGTCGGGCGACGTCGCCGCCGCCGCCGCTATCCATCGCGTGCGGTGAAAGTGCCACGGGCGGTTTTTAAATTGTAAATGCGACCGTCGTCGGCCAAAGACTGCAACAGCGACCCAGTCGTGCCGGTACCTCCGATCACGCGATATATACTCTCTCGGACAATACATTACTTGTATATTTTTTCTCGCGGAAATCCCTAGTTCCCTAGCACCGATATCCGAAACAGAACGACGTTTGCACGGCCAGTCGAATTTTTGCACTTTCATCATACCACCGTCCATAATAAACAATACCGACTAAGCGATCCAATAATCATATACGATATTATTATTATAGCCGTCACAGATCGTTCTATAATCTGTGTACCTATACATAGACTCGACCGCGAAAACGCGTAACGGAAATCTCGGCGCATCGAAATATTTATTTATTATCGTGCTCGTGACGCGATCGCTGTGACTGATGTGAACTATATTGGCTATGACTTTGGTCGTCAGCCGCCGCGGTTGGTTCAGTGGTGGTGGCGGCTGCGGCGGCGATCTCGATGGACCTGACAGGGTGCACGTCCGCTTTTTTGCGGATCGTCGGCGGCGGCGTCGGAGTTGGCGGTCCGTTGCTTTTCCTGATGCTCCTTCAACTACCTTCGTCCCAGTTGTCAGTCGGGACAGTGACAATAGGGTTGGGCCCGATCGATCGTTGGCGACCGCAGAGATTTGGCGGCGGTATCGTCGGAGATCGCGACGAACAGTTGCAGGACAACGAGATCGTCGAAGACCGTCGCGCTAAACCATCGATTCCTCTCCCGCCCGTCGAACCCTTCTTCGACTATGCCGCTTCCATATACAGTTGAGTCGTTATTATAAAATATACTTTTATGATTTTGCACACCCCGAATCCCCTAACATTTTTCTCGCCTATAACATAAATATTGCACAATAGTGAGTATCTAACCTACTGCAGCGAGTTCATATAGTTTCAAGTGTTAGTTTCGACTTTTTATCTGACAAAAACCATATTTTTTTTTTGGAGTTGACTCGATAGTTATAGGTAAAATATGCAAGTTGTACATCTGCGAATAACTTAGATTGACAGCATTAATAAATTTGACCTAAGAAGTCGCTTCTCGCTAAATCCATTACGTAAAATGATGTACGAAAATGAAAACACAAGTTAATTATTGTCAAAAAAATTATTCGTAACACTTACTTTAAGTTCACACAAGTGGACGATTCTTTAACCTGTAAAATTCTTACAGCTCTATAACTAACACCTAAAATCTATTAATTGTACAAAAATACTTTAGTAAATGATTATGTTAATAAAAACGAAAGTAACAAAACGTAACTTATACAGTTTGTTTTAGTTTTTACACGTCGGTTTAACTGCAGTAGATTTAAATTTGTTCAATCTTGCTAAATCAGTGTACGATGGTTATTTTAATTATTCGTAATAAACATATTATATTATAATATTATACTCGTACGGAGACTATGAAAAAGAATAGCAATCAACCCGGTTTCAGTTTTTTTCACTTCTTCTGGTTTGGTTTATAATAATGGACGGGGTTTCCGCATTGTATGAGCGTCGAGTAGTGCTCATACGTATATGTAGACATATGCCGACTGTGCACACGTTGACACGTATAATATATATAAGTCATATTTGCCACGCGTTTTTAATAACGTGTTCTCGAGTATAATATTGTAATATATATGTTTATACTTACCAGTATTCACGAAACGTGTTATTAGTATGAATGATTTGACAGTAATGCTGCACTTCGTATTATGTATTATATTATTATAATGTATTTAATAAGGTACTAAATACACAAAACTAATACGTGGTACTCGTAGAATAAATATAACTCCATATTATTATAATATCCATGTATATTAACGAACTCGTTTTGTTACCGATCGAAGGACATTGACGCATTTTTTTTTTTTATTATTTGAAAAGTCGTTTGCTTAAATAAATAAAATAAATAAATCGCTAATTCATTCGTAGAAATAAAACCACCATACAATATGCCATATATGCGGCATGCACGTATACTTTTAAGTTTTAATACAACATTATTATAAAAAAGCTTGTCAATAAAACTATTGAAAAATGATGAAGGCATTAAGTACTTGTATTATTACTAGTAAAACTATTCTTAAGTGTAAATAATGATTATTTTACAAGTGATGCACCTCACCAACGAATTAGCGTAACTAACTATTAACTAACAAGCTATAAGTGGTGTTTTATGATTTTAATAATGAATTTAACTCGTTGTACAATTATTGAATATAGTAGATATAAACATATATCGACGATTTTCTTAGAAAAAAGAGCATACATTAAAAATAAAACATGTTTGAGATCATTTTGACGTGGACACCCTAATGGATGCATATGACAAAGTAATTTTTGAAATCAACAGATTTCAAATTGTAGTCATAAATCTACAGATTGTTTAGATTGTTTAGAGATTCGCTATACGGTAACAATTCATTAAATTTCTACACGTCTTGATGAAAATAGGCTACCTAGGATGAATACATAACTTCGTATTTTTCGTAACATGCACCTTTTTAAGTTAGCTGACACGCGTAAAATGTTGATACTTGTATGACGTATACAGCTACAATAAATAACATAGTATAATAATAAATAGGTGATGATATTAAAATATATAATATAATAGGTAATTCAATAGTATCTGTATAAAAACCTGAAAATCAAAACACTTACAATGTTTAGCAGTTTAACGTAATAATGAAAATTTAAGAGATTTTAACATTACATTTGATGTTATTTTAACGATAGTAAATAATAAAATAAAAAAAATATTACAATACTATCACATTATTGATTTCATAAATTATCATTAATTATCACTAGGGTTCGAATTTGAAGGCAATATAATCAATAAAAAATGCCTTTAAATTGTGAAAAACGGCAAAAAAAGCATTTAATTTATATAAAAAACCAATTAAAAAATTTGCTAAAAAATTAAATAAATTAACTAATTTGTATTAAAAAAATAAATCATTATCATGTACTTAGATAAGCTATTTTCAATAAAACGTTGACGGTTATTTTATTATTATTATTATTATTAAAAAAAGGCTTTTGCTTTCAAATCCAAACACTAATAATCACCATACTAAATTGTTTGATTTATTGTCTCTATACAGTTTACATTTTAGAAAATAATTAGTACTAATACTTAAAAACTCAAAATATTACTTTATTATTGTGCATATAACTTTATCTTTCTAATATATTGTGTACAATATGTCCCGAAATTTAACATGCTTATTGTAAATAAAATATTAAGTAGGTTTCTAGGTAAACATTTTCCTGTTTAGTATTATTGAATAAAACCCGTATTATTCTCAACAGCTTTGATTATTGCCCGATTCCCGTTAGTTGTTATAGTTTGTTGGATGTTACTTACATCCATATTATATTATTTAATGTCAACGGTCATATATTCAAGAATTAAAATTATTATTTATTTTATAACTCATTACGTATTAAAAATTTTAAATATTTGATAGTTTAAAAAATTTTTGAAGCTTGCCAACAAATAAGTAGATTGTGTATAAGCAGTATACAAGAACCTACTATTTTAGATTAATCCAAGTTGTCTAAGTAGTTTTTAGTATCTAGTAGTCGTTATTAACGAGGTGGAAATATTTATTTAATAATTCAGGAATTAAAAAGAAATGTAACATTAAGCAAACCAGTTTTGTGCATGGAAAAACAAAGTAGAATTTCATTTAATAACAGTTGGCACTTGTCTAGAATTTAGTTATATAATATGCCTAGGATCTATATTAAATCTTTGCCCTCCGGTAGGTATTATTTTTTTCAAATTTAACCTATAGGTGTTTATATCTTTGGGGCCTTGTGAAAAAAAAAATTGTCTGCTTCACTTGTCACAGTATATCATATTTTTTTAAACTCTAATTACTTGTTTGTCTGTTATATACATAATGTATATCAATATAATATATTATATAACAAGAATCACTAAATATAAGTAAAGTGTATGAATAAATTGTACAAAAGAAAACAATGTAAATACTAACAATATAAAATAACTAAAATTATTATTACAGCAACGTGATCACTTAAAAATGTTTTTCTCATTGTTGGTAAAAATGATAATAGGTACATTTTATAGGTTGAAGTCTTTCAATTTTCATCTTCGCTATATTTAATAATAGAGCAATTCTTTTACTGCCGATACAATACATTGTCTCATAGAATTTCTCAGATAATTTTTCATTAACTTAATTTTTGAAAAATTATTGCCGAGTTCCAGTTTCAGTAATTAATACAAATTATACTTATGCATTATGCACTTATACCAGAAAAAAAATAGCTTTATTAGAACCAGTCCAGTACAACTTTGCATTCAGTAATTGTTACAATTTTACAAATACGGTGGTTCAAAAACAATATATTGAAAAAAACATAATAATTCCACGAACTAAATGAAGAGTTGTGATAATAAAGTTTTCAGACCACTAGTTTTTTTTTTTAATCATAAAAATTATGAATGCCTAGATGAATAAAACGGGTTAATAAAAATTAAGTATTTTAAAAATGTAATAATTTATTTTTAATTTTAGATAAACGAATAGTTATTTTCTTTCCGCGACAAAAAACATAATTTTTGTGTAAAAATACTAGCAGAATTTTTAACAAGAGAATTTTATTCCATTATTTTTTAACATCAGGGAAAATTGTTGATAAATAATTTTCGATATGATAATAAGCATGGTATTTTATCATTTTAAGTTTTAGTATCTCTAAAAAAGGTTTTTAAGATTTTTATGTAAAATATATGCTGATGTACTTACTGTATTTATTTACAAAATCATACGATGATTTTTTGGTATATTCTTCGGTTTTTTTGCCATACTATGATTTTATCTTTATACTATTTTGTAAGGTATATTATATATATTGAACTTAATTTTTCTCTTTTTTTGTTAATTACGTATAAATCATTTTATTTTTTAATTTATTAAAAATTAATTCTTTTACTATAACACACACACTTTTTGAAACTGGCATTGCATTTATATTTTTAAATTAAATATTTATTATCATAATTATATTAAACTTTCCTATTTGATATTAGATTAAATTAAAATTAAAAAATTGACCTGTTAAAATACAATCTATAAAAACAAAAATACATTTTCCAACAATGAAAATTTAATTTACTAATATAAAAATATAAAATACCATAGTAAAAAATTAATAAAGACTAAAATTCAATTAGTATTTATGTGATATTCGATTTAAGGTTGTTAAATTCATAAATAAAATTTATATTATATTATATTGAGAATACATTGGTAATACAGTTCTAATTCAACCTACTTAAAATAAAATATACTATAGTTAGTATGTTTAATACCAAGTTTATATATATTCATAATTCATACTATGATCGAAAAGAGCTAGTGACATGCATTATAATAACTATGATAGACATCGTCGAGAATAATAATACAAAATTGAAAATAGTACTTATTAAATATAGGTACATAATATTGATGGAATTGGATGCATTTGATCTAATAAACTAATTTTCATCAATTTAGTAAACAATTAGGTAATACAATAACAAGAATCAAAATAAATAGGGAAATTTTCTCGAAACTATTGTGGTACAGAGAAAGTTAACTATATCTAACTATGTATAATACATTAAATAACTAATCAAAACATAGTAAAACGTTAAGAAGCCTTAGAACCCAAGTTCTGTTTTTAGAACCTATAATATGTTAGGTTAAATAGTGTTTATGAATAATTATATTAAACACAATATATTTTACTGTAAAAACAATTTTGTTTACTCTACGAAGAAATTTCATAACATTTATAACAATGAATTATTTATTATAAGCTTTATCAAGTGTGATATTGGATTTTTCACGTTTTTTTGATCACATGATTAGTTTTATGTCAATATTATAATATAAATTGAATGATTTTTTGAGTATGCTCATCCCCCATTTTTTTTAGTAATTAATTTATGAAAATTTTGATTTTTTAAATTTTAAATTATTATATTTATATTTCATCGTACTTTCATGTACTTAGGTTTCTTGGAATATTAAAAGAAAGTCCTATGATGATGACACAAAGTTCTTTTTTTTCAAGATACAACTATCCTTTTTACTACCAATCGTTATTGAATAGATTTTTTTGAAAAACGTTGAAGCATCTCGTTTGAATTTCAAACAAGTAATTTCTTAGTTTTTTTTCACATTTTGTGCTAAGAATAATTTAAAAAAATCAAAGCAAAAAATTACGAGTATTATTGCAAACATAAAATTATCACTCATATCATTGAAGTTCTGCTCAGAATCTAAAATGGTGGGTGGACATGAGTTGTATGCTTTGTGAAATACCTTGAGTGCGGTAGTACCGTTGATTATAAATACTAACTATTTTCAACATTGATAATAGCGATAGTACGAGCTATGACCTGTCTTTTCTCACCTCGATATTGCTAAAATAATTTATTGAACTTTACGTACCAACATGCACACAATATTTAATTTAACACGGAAAAGCGCTCATTAAGGTTACTACAAGAATACGGAGTAAAAACCTACAAAATCAATTTCTTTACTCACGTCAATATACCTACTATATTTTATTTAATGTATTTTATTGTCGCGTTTTTGTGTTTTAGTGGAGAAGATGGTCCGCCGCTGGGCTCCACTTATATGGTTAGCACCAGATGAACAATTTCTTCCTGGTTCCGTGACCGATTTCTTGAATCACGTTACGCCTAAGCCACGTGGCCTGTCTAACGACGTGCAACAACACTCCAAAGTGCCTATGGGCCCGGATTCGCAGTCGTGGTTTTTAGTCACCAAGTCTGAAGTTGGTGAGTAATACTTATAGTGTATACATAATACACGTACAAATTATACTAAAAGTGACTAGTACTAATGGCTAATGCCGTATATATAATATATATATATATATATGTATATATATACCATTGTACATACAGGAAAATGTATTCTTTTAACAGCGAACACTTATTATCATTACTTATATAACTGCTAGAAATTTATTTAATAGAACTTTAACTTTGTATTTAATGAAATTATTTCACTTTAGATTATTTTAATTAAAATTTGTTTTAAAATCAAAAGTCAATATTATATTATAGTGATTATTGTCGTCTTATTAAGAGGACTGTAAAAAAAGTAAAGGTCAACTTAATTATTTTTAAAAGTAAAAGATGTTAAGGAAAGTTTGTCGGAATAAAGATTTGGTTCACTTCTTTAAAAAATAATCACTGTGTATACATTGAAGGCTGTTACGTATTATTGTATTAAAGTTTATTCTGTGGCATATTTTAAAATTTCTTTTTTTATTATTTTTTGAGGGGGAGGGGGGTATTTAAAAACCTTTTCACTGCACCTACGTAGCAAACCATTTATGACTATTGAACATTTTTTTCCAGGGTAAGAATCCCCCCCTTCCCAAAAATGCGCCACTACATCTACTTATGTATATAATTATAAAATACAAGCAGAGTTCGAGACGATATATTAAAAAATATTAAGTATGTTATATTTATTAATAAAAAGCACTTTCATGAAATAATAAAGAAAAAAAAGAAATGTATTTTAAAACTTAGGAATAAAAATTTCTGAATTTTTCGAAAATAAATATGTATATTTCAAAAAATTAAATTGAGATAAATTAAAACGCATTCATTATACATTAATGTATTAAATATATGAATATATGAATACATTACTATTTTTTAACATTGAAAAATTATAAAGTTATGTGTACGTTAAAGTGTAGCTAAAAATCTTATGATGTACAAACGGGAATACAAATAAGACTAAATATTTGTTTCTCCATTGACTTGGAGCAATAAAGCCTGTAACCACGTGAGTATGTGCAACTGCAGATTACCTAGACTCTAGAGTCTAGAGGTTATGACTTCGAATTTAAATTCTTCGTAATTGTAAATAATAATAATGTAATATCATCATTATGCAACTGATAATGACGTGTATAGTCATAATACGATTATTATGTTATAATTGTCGGTGTACACGGACCAAGTCGGGTGACCGGAACATAAATCACAATAATATATAAAAATATATGGCGATTGGCAGGCACACCATTCTAAATCAGTACCAAATACCAATATATTTATATTATTAACATTATGCGAGTTTGCGATTCAATGGTACAGTAAATCAATTACATAAACACTTTCGATTGGATAGACAATTGTATTATTATGATTAACCCTTTACGGTTCTATACATAACATAATGTTACAATGTTATTCACGTAAAGACTCGAATAAACACAGAATTCCTCGAATCTTGTAATATGTAACACATTACATTATTTTAGTTGTTGTCTATGTCTGTATTTAGATGACTGTGCTGTATTAGTGGCATACTGTGGATATGTAATGTCACGATAAATTTTAATACGGTTGCAGACTGTAGTATACCTACATGTGTCTGGTGAATGGATAAAATATCGATATACATATACGCTATAAACGTAGACAAAAATATCAAGTTTGACTCAAATTACGACTGAGAAAAAAAATGATATATTTTGTGTTTAATAATTTGATATTTAATAATACCAAGCAAGTTGCTCTGCTGTATAGTTGTTTAACGACGGATGTACTTTAACATTGAGGTCACATGTAATTAATGTTAAATTTGATAAATCATTGTAGGTATGTACGGCTAAAAACGATTTCAACTAGAATCTATCTGTCAGTCAATATTTCTATGGACTTTTTATTGGATATTTATTTTGGTATTAATAATTACATTTTTTATAAGTAATGACTAATAAATATAAGGTAGGTAGGTTAAATACATTTTTGGTAAAAATAAATCATACCCTTATATTATATAATGTGTATTATAACATTATTTTATATAATATTATTATAGCTGTTGTCTGTTATAAGCTTCATAACTTAAAATCACCGAAAAACAGTATATATTTGAATAGGTTCACGGTAAAAATAATTTCGAACGAATCTAAATTTAATATTTTAAAACTTTTATAGTAAAAGTATAATAAATAATAATATGAGTACAGACGAAAAGTTTCAATTCCTTATGAATAATATTTTTTGAAATAGGTAGGTACATAAAATAACAAAAATTGATAGTTTTCGTTTAATTATCCAATTTTAAATGAATTTTGAGTTTAATATCTATAAAATTAAATCATCTCTGTGTATTTTTGATAGTATTTTTAAAAAATGAGTTTAACTTATCAGGAATTGTATATTAAAATTTTAAACTTTGGTACTGAAATTCAAATTATTATGAATTTATAAGCACTCAATTATTTACATATTTTTGTGAAAGTTTTAAATGTATACGCTTATTAAAAAATGTGTGGCAATATTTTATTGATATATTTTAATTGCTGTAACAAAAACTTATGAGAACCTTTTAATACTATTAACGTTTTTTTACTAAGAGAATATGTTTTTATCGATATTCATAAAGTTATAACGTAAAAATTGTTATTATATATTAAAAAAAAAAAAAAAAATTAAATATATTTGAATATTTTAAAAGCCTATAAATAGAGTAACACATCAATATTATTAACCATGTATAAATTAATTTTTATAGTATTAGTGTTTTTTTTATTTTCAATCTCTCAAACACCAACTCGATTAAAATTTTTACCATAAATCGTTGTAATGGTAGAAAATTGAAACAATTTTACTGCTCCGAAAGGTAATAACAGACACACAAACATCGTTTCAAAGTCATTTTGATACAATGATTACAATTGTAAGGATAAGCGGTGGTATACAATGATTTTTAAATAATTTGTTTTATTCATATTGTGTGTTAAAAAAAATATATAATCACTAAATAAATAATTTATATTATTTTTTCCGTTGTTTTCATTATTTTAGTTAGGTAGGTAATATGATGTTTTGATAATAAGCAAATAGAAAGTGTCATCAATGGGTGGCTTCTTTCTTCGAAAACTCATGACCTGTTAACTCTTATCAGTTTATCATATATTCTTATTGTGTCTAATATAATTTGATACAGATTGTTTATTATATGTGAAAAAAAGTAATAATAGTAATAAAATTGATGTTTTGGTTATAACAACGATAAAATAAATAGTACGTATATTTTTTGACAATACGTAAATATGGCCTATTGGTTAATAATATGCGTAAAATTCCAAGTTCAATGTATGCAAACTTAACGTTATGTTGATTGCAGTCATTCAACTATGATAATATTATTGTACATAATATAATAGTATATTAATTATTATACAATAATACGCTTATTTTGACTTAGAAATATATAAATTTGAACGTATTTTAATTTTAGTTACTCCCACATACACTATTTAAAATTATATTTAATTGCTAAAATAATGTATCTATACCTAACCCAGTCAGTAAGTGTTTGTTTTAATGATTTCGATTTCGATGACACACCTCAGCTATTCAATCATGGACATTAAAATATTATTTAAAAATGTAAAAATAATCACTATTAAATCTTTTCAATATAGGTACCTAATATTATATTTCATACACTTTATTGTATATAGGATTTTACATTGTATTCTACATTTCTATAAGTATAATTATCTAAATTATGTGTTTTTTTTTTTAATACTAATTACTACTACATATTTTATGGTCTTTATATAATTTAATGAATGTTTAGATTAGGCATGTTAAACGTATGGCTCACGAACTACATGCTGCTCTAGACTATTTTTCTAAAGTCCGAGGCGACCGGGTTCATCTGAAAATTAAGTGAAAATAAAGACAATTACAACAATAAAATTAATATAATTTTTATTTTGTGTTGAAACTATGCCAGAGAGAGTTATATTTTAATATACATATTATGTACAATGTAAAATATTTATTTTCCTAATAATAGTATGAAATGTTTTTTCTTTTTTTATTATAAGTTTATTGTAAGGCCCGCATAGTATGCTAATCAATATTTTTGGTCCAATTGATAATTTACGTTTAACATGCCTAGTTTAGAGAAGCGAGTAGTTTAAACTATTTACATAAATAGTTAATGAATAGAGTATTATCTCAAATTTAGATAGGCATATTGCTATATTATAATATGTAATGTCGGTTTTTTTTTTTTTTGGGGGGGGGGGGGTTATTGGGCCTTATACCTATTACCTATACGTATCTTCTAAAGTACATAATCATGTTGAGCAATAGTAATTAGCAGGTGGCTCTGTTTATACTAGGTAACAAATGTACGTATAATGTGAATATGCGTGAATATGCATCATATTATATGTTACATATTTGATATTTTAAATATTTTAGATTTTTTGCATTGAATATTGATACTAATTTTATTAATTTGTGTTTAAAATCAAATTTATTTTATGATTTTCATACATTTTAGTTTATTAATGGAAATAACTGGGAATGAAAAATGTGAACATATTATAACATATCAACCTATATTTATATAATTTTGAGTACTATTGGTTTAAATATTTATTCAATTCAAGATCATACATTAATAATGAATTCATTTTTTTTTTCAAATTTAAATCTAAATTTGAATAGGTATCTACAATCTATAGTTAAATGCTTTATGAATAATAATTATAACAAATCAAAATTAATGTGAACAAAATTTCTGGTTGCTATTTTTTGTGTTTTTAGGGCTTATTGTTTAGTTCTTTTTAGCATTACTATAAAGTCTGAACCTAGCAGATTATAAACAATATGATATTATGACTAGGCACTAAATATTTTAAATTACAATCTATACATTTATTTTAAATTGTATTCATATGTTGTATATTTATGTTACATTGTGTTATAGTTAATTAGTTATTTTTATGTTAACTCTGCAGCTTTCATTACTCCGTAGATAATATTATAATATTTAATGTTCTTGTTATATGAATAACAAACACATATTCTTAAATTCATAAACGAACATAGACTTTCTAGAATGTGTCAGATTCATTACAGTTTGTTCGTTTAAGTCACATGGCTTTACATTTCAAAATTATTATATCGTTATTAGTACTTAAATAATATTATATTTTTTTGAAATTAACGAAAATAAACAAACCGAATACAATAAGTTTAAATATTATTTCGCAAAATATTTTAATATTAAACTATATCATAGATAGGTACATTGAAATATCAAATATACAGAATATTTAGGTACTATATACTTACACTTATCTACTACCTACGTTCTAAGTATTATTGAATAATTTTTAATATGATAAGTTTAATTTAATGAATTATATTTAAAAGTTTTCATTGTTTCTAATGTATTTTTTTTATCACCGCGGTGATACTACACGCGTATAGTGTATACCAATTATACATTATTAAAAAAATGACTGACATTTTATGTATTTATTGTTCTCTCGAGTCTCAATTCTTAACACCGGATTCTAATGAGATAAAACATAATTCTAATTAATTAAAGTTCCATTCATAATTATTTAAGATATCATTCAAGACTGTTGCTGAGTGCTGACTAATTTGTCTATAGTTAACAACAATATTGAACTCACTGTTAAGGACGAGTATATCATTGGATTTATCTTCTTCAACTAATGACTTAAATTTTGAATTTTTCAGCACAGTACCTACCACTTAAGCCCTTATAGTTATATTCTGATCAATAAAACATTTTAATATTCAGGTAGGTACGCACCAATTTTTTACACTTTTGGAGCTCCCATCTACTTTATTCCCAATTATAGAACTAGGTATAATACTATGATAGATACATTTAAAATCAATTGAAGTGTCGAAATACGTATTTTATAATAGTATATAATTATTATAACTGCGTGTTAAAACCATTAATCAAACATATAATAATAATCAGAGCTTATGATTTATGAATTATGACACTAAAAAATAAAATTTATCGTGTTAACAATCATACGTTCTTAAAAATCTTGATACGATAAGTGCTTAATAATTAATATACACTTTAAATGTTTAAAATTGTAAAAATAAAAAAGTATTAGTTGTAAATCAAAATAATAATTTTTAAGCTTATTGAAACATGAAGTATGTATTTTAAAAATGCGTTATAAATTTCTAAGATTATTTATTAAACATGAAAACCTCGTTATAGAACACAAAACCGTATAAACTGCAGTTAACACTAACTTAATATGGTAAACCATGTACCAGTGGTTTTCAATTTTTTACAACAGAACCCAAATTTTCTACAGAAAATCTATCTCAACTCATATGGTTTTTCAGGATAAAAAGAATAGTTCTAAATATCTAAATAAGTCTACTTGCTGATCTTATTTGTTTCCGTTGCGTCAGAGTTGGACGCGGAAGTTCCAAAATAAACCGTTCGTTTTATTGCGATAAAGACGTCCCGACGATAGAGGAATATCGTTAGAATTAAATGTATACTGCAGGATACAGAAATGGTATGACAGCGGTCATTAGTTAATTTGCAGGATTAATAATTTATTTATATATATTAAATAATATTACTTTATAGTAAGTTTATTTCCGTACCACAATTTGAGAAATGTTGGTATAATATCCCATATTTTAGAAGAAACATACATATTTTTATTTTTCATGCTATAAAAATTTAAATTTGTATAGTATACTGGTATAATGGTTTTTAGGCATTTTAGTTTTTTTACCTTCTTTATCATAACAATATAAAAGTGTAAAATAATTTACTGATAACACAAAAATAACAAAAAATATCAAAAATTAATAATATGTAATTCAAAGATTTCTACTCTACTATGTAGTAAATTTTGGGTGTACCTACATTAACAATGAATACAGATTACAGTAGCGGATGTGTTCAATTTGAATTTAATGATAAATTTGTTTACTAAAAACAATTCTGATTAAATACGATAGACGATGTGTCATATATTATGGTCTAAAATTGCTCTAAGAATTATAAAATATAAAAAAATTGCTCCTATGAGGAATCTGCAGGTAATACATTTTTAAGTTTAAAATATTTAGTAAATTTTATGAGTTTTTATCTATTAATTAATTTTTATATTTTTTAATTTTCGTTTTTTTTTATTTAATTAAAAAAATTGAAATTTTATACTTTTGATCCCTCAAAATGATAAGATTAACAATACGATTTACAAATTCAAATTTTACTAGAAACCACTCTCAATTTTGAAGGTTTTATTACCTTCTACTTTACAAGAAATAAAAATTGATTGGAAAACCAATATGATATTCATAAATTCATTAATTTTAAATGTTGAATAACTGTGCTTATTATAACTACTTATATCTGAAACAAGAAATTATAACTCACTCTTGGTAGACATAGTTTAAAATTCTGAAAACAAAATGTATAAAAAAAAATGGCACAAATCATGTTCCCTAATATGATAATAATAATGTTATATAAATATAATAAGAATTATATCGTGTACGTTTGATGGTATTTATCACAGCAAGTTTCTTTATTCGTTTACCGCAGAACAACTGTTGGAAAATACGACTTCCGTGTTATACGGGCAGAACCCGAACACCACCACCGTCCCCATCTACGCTCACGTCACTCAATGCGGTCGTAAACATTTTCACGTGTCGTATTGGCTGTTTTTCCCGTTCAGTCAGGGCAAACCGATATGCACACTGGACATGGGCGTACTCGGCCCACTTCCGTTACCAGTCTTCAACAACCGATGTTTTGGTACCCTCAAAGAATTCGGCAGTCACGTGGGTGATTGGGAACACATGAGTCTCATGTTTAACGTACGTATGATACCTACTTTGTATATAATATGTATTAACCATAAAAGTCTTATCTGATACTTATTATACATAGGGTAATTCACTAATTATATTCATAAGTCATAACCTCCAGAATATGCGTCTATTAAAGTTCCGATTTTTAGAATGGTTTGGTTATATTCGTGTCACGATAATATTTTTAAAAATTAGTGATACATTAGGCTTGTTTTTTTTAATCGAAATCCATCTTTATATTATACAAATTATTAAGCATATGATTTATTTTGAAAATGTATTACTTTATTATCTAAATAAAATTTTTAACTAGTTAGTTATTAAACTTTATATACAATATACTCACTAATAGGAAGTCCATGGTTATTAGTTAAGAAGATACACGTTGATTTGAAAATAGTACTCATGAATCTTTTGCATCTATAACATTAAGTTATTAGTATTTTAAAACATTTTTTTTTTTTTATTTCCCGAATAAGTTAGTAAGAATTAAATTAAATAGATTAATATTAAATATTATATCTATTTCAGATTTTAAGTATATCAATTTTATCATCTATAGAATCGAGTTTCCTACTGTTATTATTTTAAACCGTGTACTTAAGTCTTAGAAGCGTTTGGTTTGCAATAATATTTATTAAATGTTTTTTTTTTTAATCGAAGAAAATCATACAAATTATAAATTATATAGGTACGCACATGTTGTAATATTTATCCATGTAACATTTATAAATTCGATATTATGTAAAAGTGAAAAATGACCTTGTATCAAATTGTCAAGTCTCATTATACAAAACTGAATGTTACATCTAAAAAAAACCAACTGTGCAAAATGTATTTATATATATTCTAAGGTCCGAGGTTCTTTAATAAAAAATGGAATAATTTCGACGTTGAAACAAATTTTAATACTAGTGGATATCTACGTACCTATTAATATGTTCGTTCAACAGAATAGACATTAATAGATTATTAAATCATTTATTTTAGAAATATGATGTTAATATATAATTATTAATAATAATAATAATTAATTTTACATTTGTTATATCCTACTTATCAAATCTAAATAATTTTTTAATTTAAAAATAAAGCTTTGGCAAAATATATAATATAACCAAAAAAATTTAAATATAATTATTTCGACAGAAGTGATCTTTGCGAGCAGCTATATAGTGTTGCATGTACATTGTCATAGAGTTTATCTATTTATTTTATAGATATAAAGTTAAAATAATACCCATTTACTCTTGTTGCAGGGCTACGACGAACCAGAAGAAATGTACGTGTCTGTGCACGATGCGGGCGCGTTTTACCGGTTCGATCGGAATCGTCGGAAGTTCGTGTTCAACCGACAAGAAGTGCGCAAAGGTTTTTTGCAAAAACCTAAGTTTCCCGAAGTGGTGCATTTGACAGACGAAGGCAACCATCCGGTGTTATTCGCGGCCAAGGGATCTCACGGTCTATGGACCGCTCCAGGTCAGATCTATAACATTAAAATCATAACAATAATATTCGTATACGTACAACTACGGCATTGCGGTCAGCGTTCGAATAAATGCTTTCATTAAAAAAAAAAAAAAAAAAAAACCACAATAACTATAATAATATAATAATGTGATTGATGATATTATGCATTACCAAAACTGATTCTTTCTAATCGTTTTACAGGAAAACACAAATACGTGCGTATACCACGATTGTACGACGACAGCGGTTACGGATTTCCGTGGAAAACTTGGCTAAAGGTCGACGTGTTAAACTCGTCAAAAAAACTTCCCATTTGGATGCAGTATTACGGTAAATGGGGAAACCAGCACAGTAAATGCCATCCAATCTCCAAAATGGGCTTGCAAATTTGTCAGTTTACAGACGGGCCGACGGGTATACCAATGAAGCCGCACGATTTCCAATGTCAAAACTCGACCAAGTAACCAATGGTATCTATTACTGACTGGAAGAGAAATTCGCTGGATGGCTGCGATGAATATCAACCATGACCTAGCCGACTTTCAAGCGATGGAACGTGTTTTAGGTCAACGTGTACCACTGTTATATTGTATTGTTATTGTTTTTATTATTATATTATTTAACTACACTACATTATAAACGTGATGGGTCTCAGTAGTTTTAAGGATCTAAAAAATCAATATTGCGTGTTATGCGATTAATGTTTTGAGTGAAAGTAGGACTTCCTGATCATCGATTTTCCTAAGACAATAATTAGTTTTTATATATTTATATATATACATATACATATATATAAATTATTCACTTGCATATTATTTTATAGCATGTAAATGATCAATGTCTGTGTTAAATAAATAAAAATAATGAACATTTATGACTTACTGGTTTTATAATAATTTCAGCATACTGTTCCTGACGTTCCTGTTAATAAACATAGTGCAAACGTACAGCAATTTACTCTCTAACAGAAAATTGTAGGTTATGAGTACATAATAGCTATACATTATAAAGGTACTTCCTAGTTCTATTTACATTCATGCAATGATTAAATTTTAACTCGCCTACTATGGGTGACATAAATGGTTCAACGAACGATTGAGTCAAACAGGCCACAATAGATTCTTTAATTACTTTTTTCCTTTTAATAGATGTTATTATTATTATGTGATGTAATATAAAAATAAATTACTGTCAACAATTTTTGAACCCAAATAATAATAATTGTCAATTTATATATTTTATATATTTATAATTAGATATTTAAATTACGCAGCTAAAACTGTTTAAATTAATATTATAAACTGATTAGATATGTTTTTTTATTAGTTTATTTACAAACTATATATAGCCGTAAGTGACAACAAGACAACAATGGCTTGTTTAGAATTTAGACTTTACAAGCATATCCCGAGGAAAGATTTTACTGACTTCTTTAAGTAATTGAAATTACACGTCTATCTATAGATCATACTATGTAATATTATGATTATTGAGTTTATTTTGTAAAAATCAAATAATCATAAAGTTTAAATTTTAAAATAATTCTAATGATCAATAATTTCCTTCATCAACATAAATAAAATACACTGTTTTATTTTGATAATTTAGTTGGTATTTAATTGTTGCCACCCCTAAAATTTGACACCGCTGCATTCGACTCAACTGTTTCTTAGTATAATTTAAAAAATATATATTATACACTATACTTCAAATACTATTGACTTTTCATTATAAATTAAAATATAAAACTAGTTTTCACATTTGGCGAATCAATAATTATTCTATTAAATTTATTACTAATGTAAGTTTTCGGACCGATTTTTCATGACACGAATTATTGTGTATAATCAAATCATTGTTCCAGCGATTATGCACAAATTTTGCTATTAATACATAATACATTATAGTACGTATAGTGTTTAATGCAATTGATGCATAATACTTTGTGATGTCATAAAAAATTAGTTGTATTTTTATCACATAACAGAAGCTACATAGTTGTCTTGTTGATTGTACTTAACTACTTGAGTGTATACGGATGTGCGTCAGTCCCCACATTGACATAAGTAGTATAAACAAAAATGTATCCGTAATTGACAAATGGGTCTCGTACTCAGGAATATTTCAGCTTCAGTTTAATCATATGCATCCTGTAGTCAAGAACTCTGCACCATGACGTCTGGATCTAGAAACATAGATTTGTTTTTTTTGCAATCTATGATTGACAAAACCGAACCTGGAGTGAAAATTAATTCGTACGAAGTGAGTGATGTGAAATTGTATAACACTATTAAGCACGTTTATTGCTGCAGGGTTTGATCGAATTACGGTATTTTACAGATAGCGTTAGGGTCAAAACGAGGTGATAACTATACATCAATGTTGTACAGGATCCAACTGTATGGCGACAACGGATGGTCAAAGTCTCTGATCTACAAATGTTTGCCCGATAACAGACAGGCTAGAAATACGTACAAATCCGAAATACTGTTTAACAACGAAGTAACATTCTATACAAAATCGTTTACAGCATTGACGAAATATCAAGTTTGTATAATAGAGTATAATATAATATTTATTTTTATCGCGAGGCTTAAAATAATGCTTTAGGAGCACAAAAAATTGGTTGAACCTTTTAATAGTGTGCCGAAATGTTATTTGGCCCAAAGTGATATTGTCATATTAGAAGATATGCGATGCAAAGGATTCACAATGCTAGACAGGATGAAGGGTCTTGATTTTAATCACTGTAGAGCCATACTAAGGTAAAAGTACCTATAGAGCTTTGGTGAAAATATGATTTTATTAGTTTGATTTGGCGTGATGTTTTTGTAGAGTTTTGGGAAAATTCCACGGGTTATCGCTGTCTATGAAAGTCGACGAACCGGAAAAGTTTAAAGAATGCATTTCGGACGCAATAAATGAAGTTTACTACAAGAGTGAAAACGAATTGTGGTACAAAGGATATTACAGACGAGCTGCAGAGAATGCAGAGAAAATGGTACCTATACATATCGATATCCTTAATACACTTAATAATTATTATCGCGAGTCACGTATAATATTATACTAACGATCATATTTGCGGTATTTTTTTTGTTTTTTTATTAAACAGCTGGAGTCTGAATTGACCGAAGATGAGAAACCAAAATATTTGGATAAATTTCGAAAATTTGTCAACCACGAATCATTCTTTGGGTATATGGTGGGACTGGTATCCCCAAAAGAATCGCTAGCTGTGCTCTGTCATGGTGACTGTTGGACAAACAATTTTTTGTTTCAATACGCTCAAGACGGAAGTATATCTGAAGTAATAAGACGTAACATTATTAACGAGCAAAGCAATTGCAAAAAAATAATAATTTTTATCAATTATTTTCAAGGTGTCTATTGTAGATTTTCAGTTGGCTAGGTACGGTTCTCCCGCATTGGACTTGGTCAGTCTTTTGTATTGCTGTACCAGCGCAGAGTTAAGGAAACAGTATTTACCTGAACTTTTGGAAGAATATTACGATTCAATTGTCAGTATTTTAACGCAAACAGACTGCTTGAACCATTATCCAAATATTCGACAAAAGTAAGTATTACATTTTTTTTTTTTTTTTTTACCTAGAACTAGATTATTCGATTATTTAAATTCAAAACTACTAAACCATTTTCAATAAATTATATATTAATATATTAATCCTTGAAACTCCTTAAAGCTTATATTATAGTTAGGTAGTTTCTAGTGTTAACATCAAAAATATGCCCAAAATTATAAAGTAGAAAATCATAAAATTAATCAATAATATGTAAACATATTATTTATATTTAAACATTATTTGCTTGAACTGAAATAAAAACAATAGAAAGACTAATTTTAATTTGTGCGCAGTCAAGTAATACAACAAATATATATAATTATGAATCAGAGTAATATGATATTATGTTATGAGCTTTTAAAATATGAACAATATCATATTACAAACTTCAAACACTCTAATTACCTAACTGATTTCCACTTAGAATCGATTAAGAAGTTAATTTAATTTCTATTTTCATATTTTCTGGTATATCACTATAATTTTTTAATTGATATTTATAATATAATATACAATTTTATTTTAATTTGTCTGCCTATATTAAGTCGGGAAGGTACTATACTTTTTATTATTTGAAATATATTTAAATATTGTCCGGTTGTTTATGATCCATTCCGCATTCGTCGCTGCGGAAATATGCCAATTTGAAAAGGGTTCAGAAAATAACTATAAAAGTTTATTAATTTTATTCTAAAAGTTTTAGACTGACCTTAACGTGATAATTTCTCAGTTTTGTGTTCTCGAGTTGAAAATTGAAATATTTAACAAATTGTATATGTTCGTTTATACCTAATGATTCTAAGTAGGTAGAGTAGATAAAGTAGTAAACAATGACGCCGATCTTTATGTCCAGTTTTTGCAGTTGCAATACCTATTGAGGGTGGGTGGATGTGGTAAGGCTGCGAAACACACTACCTATATAGCTAAAATAATAATAATAATAATTAATAGTATAATGTCATCATAGCTAACATTATGAATAATCATGATAAAGCTAAATGCTAAACTATTGAGTAATATTATAGTGAGTTTTATTTTATGGCAATAAAGCCGTTTGAACTATTATTTCTTCATCAGTCAAACGTTAGTTATAAACACAGATAACACAATAGACGTAATAATCACATTTAATATCCATAAACAACTAATTTTAATAATATTGTATTACTACATCACTACCACAGCCTATTGTGGCAATGTGGTCTGTGGGACGTGGGTACAGGGTAGGTGGGTGGTTACTTGCTTTAAAGGTATGCTTTACAATAAGTACCTCTAAAAACTGACTTCGGTGCCACTGGTAGTAGAGCAGTACCTATATTGTTCTGAAATTAATACGGTTTTTAATTAAAATTGTATTAGTATTATTGTGATTTTATTAATTTTTAATACATTTTACTGTTTTATTTTTTAAATATTTTTAATGGTATTACTAAAATGTACACGGATTCTACCTTAGTTTTTACAAACAAATAAATGAACGCATTGGTCATATTATCTACAGGTTGTACGAAGAGGTGCGTGAATACAACGTGTTCGGTCTAGGAGTAGCACTAGACATGATACCAATCATTACATGTGACTCGGAATTGGCTCCGGACATGTATACCGAAGATACGATTAACGTAGACGACGAACCCAGCAAGGAACCTTACCCCGTCATGACCTCAAGCAACTTGTGCCGCCAAATGATTGCCGACTTGGTTAAAGAACTCGTAGATAACGGATGTTTAACATAATTGGTTGGGCCAGTCAAGACGATGTACGATTGTCATATTTTGTCGTTTATTTATACATATATTGTAGCCGTAGATATTATGAAACCTGAAGTTTTGTTGTTTATTATTTTTTTTTTTTTTTAATTTGTAATTCTCATTACATTATTATTGTCATTTAATAATATTATTCGATACCTACGTAATAATTATTATTTTAGTATTATACAGAGTTTGTGTTCATTTAAATTTTATAATAATAGGTATTAAAATAACTAAACTATAAAACAATTACATCGTTTTATACCAAGGTAATTAACAGAAATTTCATCATGAGTTAACAATGTCACACCTTATCATCAAACTTTTATTTTGTATGTAATAATAAAAAAAAATTTTCTCGTAGTTTCAGTGGTCCTGAAGAGCCTTTTATTGCCATTAAATGAACTTTGTTCATGACGTCTATCCTCCAATTTCCTTCCGTGTTTTCATAAGTATTTTTTATTGTATACCGTCCTAGAGTTTGGAATAAATAATTTTATCCTCAACTATTTTTTTGTCGGTATTATTATTATGGTATAAAATATCAGTTATTTATCGAATATACATTCCGTCGTACTTTAAATGTATACGTTTTGGCGTATACTTTAAACGAGTGTTGTAATATGATTCTAGGCGGCCAATGTGAATAAAATGTTTAGCGTGAGGCAAATTTCTCAGTAAATCTTTGGCAGTGATCCTTTTTTTAACACGAAATACGACTCACTATTTTTAAGAGTTCAAAGTTTATTTTTTATTTCTTCATCGGTGAGTGGGTCATGCTCACATTTTTTATCTGTCCATTATCATTTCACTGATGAATATTTGAAATTTGATACAGAATTGATGTACATTTTTCAACTAACACAGTTGTCAGTTCCATTATCATTACACGTTTGAGCAGACCACCATAAGTGGTTTATTATATTCGTTTTCCACATAAAAGCACTATGATGGTTTTTTTCTAGAGTTTTTAATGGTTTTGTCAAACTTTTTGATAAGTGCCAACATCGAACTCGTGTTCGATGTTCGAATGATGCGTTCAAATATAATAACTAATTCCCTTATGTCAATCTATCAAAAATACATTAATATTACATTCTTCGTTTTTTTCAAGTTTTTGAAGTCGTGATTCACATGATTTTTTTTCCAAGTCATCCTGAACCATTCCTTTTTGAGTTTTTTGAAAATCTATTATTTTGAAGCTTCGAATATTCATGACTGAATATGTGCAGTACTTGGCATAAAAACCGGAGGAGTCAAATTGACCTTCACCAGCTAACCAAATGTTTGTACCCATTTTTAGTTCGTTTATATTATTATGTCTATGTTGATCCCAAATTAGTTTTTTTACTGGTGCTGTATAGTTGTTAATAATTTTATCATAAATGGTTCTTGAAAAAAATGCAAGTTTTAAAGACAAATAAAATGTTTTCATTTGATTAAATAATATGCAATACACCGGATAATGTTAGGGCAGCTCCCATTAAAATATTTTCATTATATTTAGATAATGACTGAGATGTTCATTAGAAAACATGCCATTTTCACATATAATTTATACAGCCAACATTGCTCCCTTGGTATAATTATGAATATTTTCTACTTTAACATTAGGAATAGTAATAAAAACGTGTAAATAAAATTGATAAAGACTCCCAGAAAAAAATGTAACACGAATCATTTTCTATTTCTTTAGATTTTTATCCAGTTTGAAGAACTTCAATATCCTCTTCATAAACTTCAAAACTTTCATCCTCCGATATTGAAAACTTATTAAGTGATAAATTTAATGATTAATCATGACGACTTCTTAATACTTCATTACCTAATTCACAATATATACCGATCTCGTTTTGTCTATCAGCCACAAATGATTAATTTGTAATTTCCACTAAATGACTGTCTTCGACATCATCAACATTACTCGATTCACATTCACTATTTTCAAAAGACCTAAATGAAGGCTTAAACTTTTTCGGTGTACTTGTCATTATAGAAGATATAATTTGATTTTTTCTTTTGACCTTTGTCTTTCTTCTCATTCGGATAAATTTGAAATATTTTGAAGAACCGTAGGAACAGCATTTGCATTAAGTTTTACTTTGACTTTTATATTGAGCATTAATTGTTGTCGTAATTAATCTGATTGGTTATTATCTACAGACTTAGAATGCTTTGAACAAATTATCGTGTCATACCAGGGCTAAAGTTTTTTCGTTTACAATAATTGACCCTCCAGTTTAACTTAAAAACCTAGAAGGTGATTTGATCGACACGGAAACTCATGAAAATAAACTCCAAATGAAGATTGCTTTTCACTTTTTTCATTACAATTAAAAACAGAGCACAACGTCATCTTCAAAATCTAAAGTCAAATAAAAATTCAAAACTTATTCACATAAAAAAATATTTTTTACATTTATTATAGACTATATCAAAAGATATAAAACGTACCTATCAATTAAAATAAAAATATATTAATTATTAATTTTTAAATTCTAAGTTAGAGGTACTAAAAAACATAAGAAAAATTGCGCAAATAATCCTAGTATTAAAACCATTTTAATTATAAAACTTAAAAATAAACTTATAAAATGTAAAATGAAACTTTTTATGAAAAATTATAATAAATTCCAGTTTAAAAATAATAAATAAATTATGTACGTATGTAATATATATTTTTATAAATAATCACTAAGAAATTACTAAAACAAAATTCTGAAAAAAGTTTTTTTTTAACTTCGTATAAAAAATGATTAGGCGCCTAGTTAAAAAACGGTATCTTGCTGTAAACATATTTATGACAATAATATTAAAAAAAAAAAAGTATATAAAATAATGAGAACTTTGTTATAATTAAAAATTATTATGATATAGACAATATGGTATCTGGCATCTGCTAAATACAAAAAACCCCGTCAACTGTCAAGTATGATGGAACAAACAAATAAATAATAGAATAATTGTCAACTGATATCAAATTTACTAACAGTTAAAGAAGGACTAGGTAAAATAAAATAAAAAAATGAAACAAAGTAATGCGATTTAACAAATGTCCTAGGCTACGTAATACGTAGGTTCATTAAAACATTTAAAACCGATATTAAATTGACAGAATCATTAATTACTTTAAGATTTGTAAGTTAGATAGATAGGTAGGTACTACGAAGTACGAATTAACATAATAATTATACAATTAGTCCGTACTCCGTGCTAGATATAAATAAAATTGTTTTCATCTATAAAATAATAATAACAGCCGTTTGATAACCGATAATGCGTTTATTTTTGCTGAATAACACACGGCCGCCGTAGAGTTGGATCTTATGACGTGACGCATAATAGGTATTATTTAAAACGCTGTAACTATACAACGAATCACCGATGATGATTTTTATTTACATTTTATGCGCATGCAAATTTGTAATAATAATACGCAATAAAAAAAAAAATATGATTTTTGTGTTATATGGTCCTTTAACTAACAAGTAAAAATATTATAATTTTAAATGGATAGATTTAAATTCAAACAATATTTAAATTATCACATTTTTCGCTTAACCATTAAAGCTACCCAACAGTAGATTTTTGGATTTTAACACAGGGTAGACCTTAGAGTACTATAATATACACTATACATCTTCTATTTAGTTTATTAGTACAATGTAGGTAGATACTTCAAATTTAAATACTTGAACAAATTAAGAACAATTATACAAATGTAAAGTATTATCTTTTTTCCAAACCATTAATTTATTTTAACAATGTAACCTTTTACTTTGAATAAGTGCCAAATTAAATATTCACAAAACTAAAATATGTATAAATGAGTCATCAAAATTAAATGATAATCCAGTCAAAAAAGTATTATTTTAAATATAATTTTCAGTAAATAAAAAAAAAACATTTCGGAATAAATTTTAAATTTAGTTTTATGTCAAACGATTCACAATAATAAGTAGTTTGCTTTGAAGTAGAGAAAAATTTTGCTCATACCTTTAAAAATAACAAACATCAAATATTAATAATATTCAATAAGGCTACCTATTATTCATTAATGTTTATGGAAACATTGGAAACCAATTCATAGAGTAGTATAAATGTGTGATGATAATAACTATTATTATTAATATTACCAGTACACAAACTTTACTTTGACTCAGGAGCAAATTTCGTATTTCCTAAAAATTATTCCAAGTGTTTAATTATCGGTCAACAGTTAAATCAAGGTGCACCTTGGATTGAATGTACCACAGGTTTATCAGGGATAAGTGGGCATATACACATTATTTGATTGTAATAAAAATATAATACATAATTATAGCTAATTATTTTGTTATTCTCAATAAATACCTATAATTAATTATTATAAGGTCAGAACAGAGAATATTTATGGCACAATAATTAAAAAATTACAGACAGACAGTAACCAATGTTATATTGCTGAAACTTGTGATGAAAAAAAAAAAATATTTAAATAATTAGTCATATATATCACAGAAGTATTTTATAGACAATTTAAACATTCATTTCCCAGCATAAATATAATAAAGTATAAAAAATAAAAATATTACTAATAAACTACATACTATTTACTAGGTATACTATATCATAGGTACATATTACATGCATAAATACATAATACATATATTATTATGTGTATTTTAGTACAAAATTATCATAGATAAGGTTAGGCACCATACATATAAAATAATCAATTTTAGAGCTGAGACACAATTAATATTAATATTGGACATCATCAAACATGATGAATGATGACATTCATATTGTTACAAAACTTATTTTTAGATTGTCATATTGTTTTATCATATGTATTTTGTATTTATTTATTCTAATGATCCACATTATAAATACATAAAAAAATAATTTTATTATGCATTTAAAATAAAAATATTGTAAATATCATTATAAATACATAATACATATTATCATTATTGTGCATAATTATTTTATATAGTTATTGCCAATATATAAATAAAGTTATTTTTACTTAAATAAATCTACATAATACTGTTTGTAAACAACATTGTAGATAGCTTGATGTATTAAGTATACATAGTATATGCATAAAGAAAACTCATATACCATAGGAAAATATCTAGTCTAGTAGAATAAAATCAAACAGTTAAAAAGACTAAATAATTTAGTGGAGATAAAAACATAATTAAGTAGATAATTAAACATGGAGATGAATGTACCATAAACAATATTACAGGACACAATTTACAATGACTTTAGCATTTAATGTAAAAGAAGCACAATGGAAATTGAATTTGAGCGCTGTCAGGTATGTGAAACTCAAGTCTATTAAAAAAAAAACAATATCACTTTATTTTACTCGTTCTTCATTATCTAATGCCATAATAATATATTTGTAGAAAAGAGTTGATGTGATAGTTCCAGAAAATGGACCAACCCAGTATATCTGAGGAGAAAAAAAAATAATTTAACATATTTTTATACATCAATATTCAAAAGTTATACTAATTACAATGTTAAAACTTACCCAATGCATGTTCCATGAATTGTTGTAGATTGCTGGTGCTAATGATCGTGCTGGATTTAAACTATTTCCAGTGAAAGGGCCCTAGAACAAAAAGGAAATTAAAAATGTAAAAAAGTGATACTTTTTTCTGATTGTGAGAAATACAATTTTATATTTTATGCTTTCTATTTTTTATATTATTTGTAATAAATGATAATTGAAAATGTATTGTCTTTGTTTAACTAATGAAAATTAAAAACTTATTTATAATTCCTAAAAATATTCTACAAAATAAGTTTATGACAAAAAATACTAAATATTAAATTTAAATTAAATAAAAATTATGTCTAATTGTAAATCTTTAATTGATTAACTATTTGAAGGCAATTTATAAAATTTTAAATGTAGTAATATTCTTAAATTTTTTAGATTATATTATGCTTTATTCAAGTAAACCTTTCATTACAATATATTTTTAATAATATTTTAATACAGAGTCATCAATTAAAAAACCTGGATTTAACTATGATAATTTGTGTTTCTGGTTTACGTTTGATAGTATAATAGAAGTGGTAGAAACAATTTTAGGTAAAATATTGCTATATTAGAGATAATTATCTTAAACTTTTATAGTAGAACCTTCATTTACTTTGAAAATAAAAGACTAATTTGAATTTATTTGATTAGTATTTATTGCTTAAATTTAATATATAAATATATAAATAAAACTATTAATAAATTAAGTTACAAATATTAATTTAACTAATCATTTAAATATTTTTGATTATTTATTATTCTTTTACTGTAAATAAATTTTAGCTTTAACTAAACGTGCTATTATTTATCAATATAATTGTTTATAAAAACTAAAAAGCATAAATTATAATTTTATAATTGTTATGAACTTAAAAATTCTAAAACATATATTAATTAAGTGCAAACATTTTATAATTTATTGAAGATCACTGAAAAAAACCGTGTAGCTATAATCATAGTTCAATATGTTTAGTAGAATTTTTAATATTTAAAATTTAAAATCTCTTAACTGCTATAAATTTATAGAGTATAACATTTTTAATAAAATTATAATTTTTCTACATTTAAAATGACTAAACACGTTTTTATTCTGAAGTTGTTAATTGAATACTTTAAAAAAAATTATTAATTGTCACATTTAAAAGTACTTACAACAACAACTGATGTCAAGAATATCATAACTAAAAATTTCAGGGACCCACAATCTCCATTACCACTTTTAGGATCCCAGACAGAACATACTAGAAGTATTAGAACTCCAGTTGTTATAGCTTCAATTAAAAGAGCTTGCCATGCAGTCAATCCAACAACTGGGCTTGTTACACAAACTCCGGAATCTGGTGAATTTAATATATTATAAGGTGAAATAACCTATAAAAATAAAAAATAAACATAAACAAAAATTCAATCTTTTTTTTAACTACTTGAATTAATCAATTAAGATTCTTACCACTAAAATTCCATAACCGATTATAGCTCCTAAAACTTCAGCAACGAAATAAATAATTGCTGTTAATATTGGTAATTTACCAAGCAATAATGCACATAATGTAACACATGGATTTATATGACAGTCACTGATGCGACCAATAATCTGAATTTAGTGAAAAATTATAATTAGTAAACAATACATTAGAATTATATATTTATAAGATACTTACAACAATAGTAACAGCTACAATTCCAGCAAAAGCAATAGCACCACTGTACTCACCAAGCTCACCACCCGGATATTTAGGAACCAATCCCATACAACCAAAGAACATTAAAAAGGCAGTACCAAACAGTTCAGCTAAGAATATCAATACAAGTTTCTGCCATGGCTGTCGTTCATATAATTGGTTCTGTTCAGCAGTGCCTGAAAGAAGAAACACATAGATGAGTTTTATTTTGTTGTTAAATAAACATAATATGGAGTACTTTGATTTAATAAAAACACAGAATCAAAAGTTAAATAATTCATTTAAACGCTGAACACTAAGTTTAAACACAACTTATTAAATAATGTTATGACTGTTTCAGTCAAGTTTGTTCAACATATTGTGTCTATGAAAGTCAACTATGACTTGGAAATGATAAAAAAAAGAATTGAAGACTATATAACTGTAGTAAAGACATAATTATTAAGTTGAAATAGATAGTTATATTGAAAATATCTAGTTAAAAAAAATTAAAATTGTACATACAGGTTGACTTATCTATTATTTAATAAAATAATACTAAATTATAAATACTAAACATAAGCAATAATAAACTTAGTATAGTTTATAGGTATACTACCAACTATATAAATACAAATGATACAATAACAAACTAAAATCTAAATAGGTATGAACTATGAATATAAGTTCACAATTTGGTGAAAATAAAAATAGTGGGAGTCTTCAGTTGCTTATCATTAGTGGTTGATATTGTCTAAATTATTATATAAAAATAGAAAACGATCATATTAAAACGCGGAAGTACTCAATCTTAGTATGCGCACTATTGGAGGAAATTAAATTTATTGTGGACATTGGGTACATAGTACCTACCAATTTAGTAAGTAATGATAAGTACTTTATGTCTATATTAATATAGTTACTTATATTATGGTAATTTAATTCCATCACTCTGATTTCTATAATTCTATTTTAACATTATATTATAACTTAAGTAATGTTTAAAAAACACGTAAATTGTTAAAATGTAGTATAATATATAACATAATTTACAAACTGCGTTCCAAACAACGTCAATGAATCTTTATCACACAATGTTATTATCAGTTACCTTATCAATAAATTTGAAAACAATATTGGCGGGTATATACTTGTATATTATTTATTATATAACCGGTCTTAATCTTGTGAATCACGGATCCTTGATCAAAGATTTTTAGAAATCACAGGCCTCCTTACTAATTTTTTTTTCGAATATCTTTCTTTTACAATACGTCACGTATTGACGTATATTATGTATTAAGGCTGCCGCGGATGCCCGACATGAGTATCATGGACTCCCAGAGGGCCATGAACCACTGTATTATATTATACTATATTTATTATTTACTATATTTTTTTATAGCGACTAGATACACAATATAATAATTATTATGAAATCACGAGAACTACTTTTCATGTGTTTATTTTGATTTTGTCTCCCACGAGTTATATAAAACACAAATACAAAATTGCGTTATTAATATTTTTCTTTAATAATATGATTTAATTTAATATTTATTACTATTACCATAATTCGACACAGCGAAATTATCGATTTCGTTAGATAATATTTAAATAAATCCTAACTTATATATATTTATTAACTTAGAAATCTACAATAACAATTACACAAATAATTATAACAACCATCAACTATCAAGTGGACAAGGACAAGAGAGAAAACGTTTTTAATTTTAAAATTTTATTGCTTTGCATCGTTGGAAACACGACAATAACATTCGTTATTACGTATTCGTTGTGTACTCAAGCAACTCAATATTAGGTAAAAAACTCGATGATTAAAATACACCTACTAACTATTCATATAGCTATATTGGCACTATTAGTAGGCATTAAAATAATTTAAAGTTAATAATGATTAATAAATAAGCATAAATTTATCAAATTTAAAAATAATATGATTAATTTAAAATAAATTTTATAACTAATAGCAATAAAGTAAATTAATCAATTCTAGACTCCATCTCCAAAGACCTCTATTGAATTTCAAACTCTCTGTCCAAAATACTCACCATATATAAATCAATAAAACAATTTTTATCATAGACATTGTATAATAATCGATTATGGGGTTTTAAAAAACTTTAAAATACTTAATGATCAAAATAGTGGATCGTATCTTTTCACTCTATTCACATAAATTTTAAATACTTATCATTCATAAACTACTCGTCCAAATTTTGATTTTAATATATTAAAATACTAAGAAAAAAATATTTTGTTTCAAAATGTAAAATTAAAAATGTATTTAGTTATTCAAAAAAGTAAAAACTTATAAAAAAAAAAATTATATAAAATGTATAACGATAAAAAAAAAATTCAGTTGGAAATGATGTAAGAAAAATATATACAAAAACGTTTAAAGATTTTGAAGAAATGAGTGTTGTTCGATAAAAGAATCATCCAGTATGACTAGTATAAGACTAACTGACAATGCACAGTTAAAATATTATGTTATTTATAATTTACATAAAATAAAACATTCATACATAAGTCATAACGTATACTAATTAGTTCCTATACTCTATAACTCTATATAGCAAGAGAATATGCTGCAGTACGACAAAAATCAGTTCTTCTATCCTTAGACAAAACCCTGCCATAGTAGAACCAACCTCGATAGGTCTCGCGCAAGGATGCATATAGAATTGACACGTTCTCTTGTTAGACAAAGTATAGGCTACACCGATATACTATGTATATAACATTTGGGATTATTAAGATTATTTACATCTCTCGTAGATGATAAATGATAATTGATAACATGAAAAATAAACTATATTACATTAATATGTTAATTAAAAGTTATTCTTTGGTTTAAGCAAAAAAAAAAAAAAAAACTACAGGTAGAATCAAAATTTATTTATTGTACACATGTTACACTGTGATAGGCGAAAACTTATGAGTTATGACTATTGCACGTATATGGTTTCCCATTATATATACAGATTGATTCTTTTACATTTTTTAAATGTTTAGTTAAATGTCTAAACTTGTTATATCAGTTAAATTTTTACTTAAAAAAAATTGAGTGATAAAGTTAGAAAAATTGTGATCATAGTAAAAAATATATTTTTAGATTCCACTTGAACTAAACAAAATTATAGTTAAAGACTTAGAAAATTTATTTAATTACCTAAATTATTAGTAAATAATAATTAAGGTACCTGAGCATTTAAAATCTAAATTGTTTATATGATTAAAATATTATCTAGTGAACATAATAATTAAAAAAATTATGAAATTTTGTTTAAAATGTATTCTTTATAATACTCGTATACCTATCACAGCATTATAATATTTAAGAGTTGAACGATAACTGTTGTTAACAAAAATTACAATTTATTATATTTTAACGTATTATTTGTTGTTGTTATAGTTACCATAACAACAAAATCATCTTATATTTATCTTACTGGTTTATCTATATGAGGGGCGTTATGTATAAATATGTTTTATATACACAATAGATTATACTTTGTTTTACTATTATACAAATAAATATATAAATAATACACCTAATGAAATACCTAATCAATTCAAATTAATTCAAATAACAATTGCTATTATCAATAGATAATAACATAACAAATAATAATAATAAACTATTGTTATATCAATTATTTTCAACGTTTAGTTATATAATGCATTATCATTATTAAACACTAAATAGTAATCAGTTGAAAATACAACCAATAAAATATCCCTCCTAGTTTAATTTTAATATATTTTTTCTTTTTGTATACGTGTTGAAATAAGGTTATAATGTTTTTCAATACTGAACTCTTTTTTTTTATCGTCTAATGCTGACATTTTAGACAAACATAAAACATATGTGACATGGCATAACATATAATCATATTGTTCAGAAATTTTTGGCATCTTGTATTACATTTTACTTTTTTCTAATAATTACGTTAGATACCGTTCTACCAATATAATTTACAAAGAAACTTATTATTTGTTTCTATTCATTAACTATAGATAAACATTATTACATATGACATACAATTGAACAATAAAACGTATAGAAGGTATATAATTAAATATATTTATTTCATAAATATATTTAAAAAACGACCACATACAATTTATTTTAATTTTAAGAAGAGATGAATAAGTTAGTATTTTTCTAGATAAAAAATATTGTTTATAGAATATATTTATAAATAGGAATATAACCTATATTCCTTATTATTAATATGATTTTTTTAAATTTATTTATGTACATATATTATATAAATAAATTAACTTTCAATAAATTTCCAATTTATCTAAAGTTGAAATTGGTGTTTATTTAATACTAAATCTATTTCATTTGAATAATATTTAAGATTTAAACAAATAATAACTTAACTATTGTTATAAAATAGACTTATAAGGTCGGAATGCATATGCCCTTTAGACACACTACATAACAACTAAAACTTAATTATTGAGAAATACATCCGTAAATAAATATAATGCATTATACACTTTAACTGTTTTGAAAAATAAAAAATATAAATGTTTATATTAAGATTATTTGTAAATAGTAAATACTATTTATAATAAAGGTACTCGATGTAGGTCAAAGATTTTCGATCAGAAATAGTGAAATCGTAACGCTAAATTAATGGAACTTCAAAATAAATGTAGGTGTTGTTATATTTACAACTATAAAGAACCATGCAACTGTACAAAACATATTAAAATACAAGTAATAATAATAAAACTTATTTTACTTAGTGAACATATAGGTAAGTTAATATTTTTAGAAAAAAAAATCAATCTGTAATAAATGTTAAACTTTTTAAAATCTATAAATAGCATAATATAATGTTTATTTTATGTTAAAACATTTTATTTTGACTATCTACCTAATGAAATGTGATTTATAAAGTGATATATCTGTTTTATGTCGATATAAAGAATAACTATTAAAGTTAGTGATTTGTTAATTCAACTAGGTCTTTTTTTTTTTTTTTTTTTTTAATTAGCGCATTAATGAAGAAATTATTTAATATAGTTAAAAACTTATAAGTAATACATTATTTTATAACTGTTAAGTATATTATTTAACAATAATGTGCACTGTTTTAATTTAGTTTAAAGACTCGCAAAGTGATACATGCTGCAAAAATTGAATAACATT